CTCCTTTTGTTGTTGCAAACTTTGGTATCTTTTTCCTTTCTTGATTGGCCTTTGGTCTCTTTTTCACAGTGTGTCATGTAGTTCTTTTACAGTGGGTTCCTCACACGGCTCTTGCACAAGTAACTTAAAGTGCTTTGAGAGTTCTGCTGCTTCCACTGGAGCAGAGTGTCTTCTAGGTCATTTGCATCTAATGTCACCCTGTTCCAGGGAGTTTCCTCATTTTGCCTTCCCTCAGGGTTCTGTTCTTCTGACTCAGCTTGCTGATGCTCTTGGACTACACCTAGCTGTTGCAGCTCCTCCGCTCTGCCTAGGAATTCGTTGTTTTCTTTTATTATCTGGAGGGTGGCACTCGCTGCTCCAGTGCTCTCACTTTTTCATTCTGACAGGGTTACCAGCTTGCAACTATTGCATGTGTAGGACATGTTGCTTTCAAGTAAGAAAACAAAAAATGCACAGTTGTTGCAGGCCACCACCACCACTGTGGAGTCTCCTTGGTCCATTGTTTGTGCAAACTTAGTGATTACGTTTTGGGGGATGCTGTTGTGATAAGTAGAACTTTCTCTTGTCTTCACTAAAGGTTTACTAGTATTACTATTAAATGGGAGTGTGTTACAAGGAGAAAAACAAGTGTGTGTGTATGTGGAGGGGATTAAGTTGAAATAAAGAAGAAAAAAGAAGTGGAATGTTAGGAACTTCCCCTCTGACCTCCTCTGCTGCACTCTTGTTTGCTCACTCTGGTGGCTTGCTTCCGGGGAGCTTGGCTGCTTGTATTTCAGAGGCCCTAGACCAGCTGGGGCAGCTTGCTCTGCTCTGCTAGGAGTCAGGAACCAGAATGAATTCCCCCCTGCCCGCCCCCCCCCCCAACAACTACTGCTAGCTGATCAGGCCACTCCCTTTTAGTTAATCAGCAATCAGCTAATCTGGAACTTCTCTTCAATTGTCACTTAGAAAAAAAAAGAACTTTGGCTGGGCTAGTGCAGGCCTGTCTCTGCTTTGCCTCTGTCTCCTTTTCCACTACAACTCATCTGCCAAACTCCTGTTTGCTCTCCTTGATCATTGGCTCCCTGGGAGCTTGGCTGCTTGTATCCCAGAGGCCCAGCTAGGGCAGCTTTCTCTGATCTGCTCTATTAGGAGTCAGGAACCAGAAGTTTGCAAAGTTCACAGAAGGATACTATTTCCTTCTTTAAAAATCCATGTTTTCCAGAAGAAGAGGGACTTCTTTGTAAACATGTATCATTGATTTAATTGACAGAAAGTCAATTGCATTGGTTGTAAAACTTAAGGTTACCAAATATGGCATATTGAGGTGAAGCCGTGAACCATGTGTTCTCCTGTTCCTTATAAAAGGATTATAAGAAAATGCAAATAAAAACAAATTGAGTTTTTAATTAATGGACATCAATGGAACTTAATAGGAACTTAATCTGAAATAAGTATTCACACATACATATATGCTTTCACATTTTAGGACAAAGAGTATAAAGCCCAGTTATGTTGCAAGGACTTAGACTAAGCTCCAAAACTATCTTGGACTCTTTTTGGGTCAACAGAAGGTCAGTGTAAAAGCAGATGAGTTAAGTTTAAATGGCATAGCTTGAAATAGCTATTTTAGGGGCCCCAGTCTTCACCATCTCCCAGATCTGCTGTTTGTTCAGGAAGAAGCACACCCATTCACTCCAGTTGGGGCTTTCACCCTCATGTGGCATGGGGAATTAATCTAGACTGGGATCATAATGAGGGTCAAAGAGTTAAAATTCCCTAACTCCTGTGCCAGTGGCCTCATCAGAGTCACACCCCCAGCACTGACTATTTCTGGAAGAAAATGTATTATGCTCAAGCTGATACTGTAGATCCCAGCAAAATGTGTTTTGGTTGATTAGTCTCAGTTATAAGGTGGCCAGTGAGCTTTTTTTGTGGGAGGGTGATAGTGCAGAACTTGTAAGTTGCTCATGGATCCCATCTGTCATAGATCCCTGTGAGATCTTTCCTTTTAGCAATTTTGAGAATTTAACAGGAGGTGTGGCAACCCACTGATCAGCAATGCCTTCTTTCCTCCTTATTCCCCTGTCCCATCTCTGGCCTTCTCAATTTGTTTTCCCATTATAAGAGTTTCTACTCTTGTTCTGTGGCAGAATTGCAGGATTTTTCATGAAATTCAAGAGCAAAATCATATGTCTCCTTTAACAATGGTCGAAGAAAGGAGGAATTGTAAAATAATTAATGTAGTATACAGTTCATCCAGTAAGATGCTAAAGATAGCTTTAAATTGTATCAAGACATGTGGGCACTGTAGTGAACTTACCCAAACTTTCTTCCTTAAAGGTGAAAAATTACATACATGTAATTCTGGGTTGACATTTCCCTATTAAGCTGTCATTGTAGTTCCTCTTGAATGGAGGAAATGATCATACTGCTATTCACACAACAGCTGCCAGCAACATCATTATGCCAAGATGTTTTTCTTGAATGTCAGATGTTTTAATTTTGTGCAGTAAAATTCCACCTAGGTGTAGTTCTTTCTAAATATCAGAGTTATCATGAAAAATAGAAGTGTTGCTCTCTGTTGATTCTTTGATACTTTTATGTAGGTTTGAAAGAGCTTGGCAGTTGTAGTATAATTTTCTTCTTGAAAATATTCCAGAAATAAATGCCTGCTTAAAATTTTATTTACTTATTTTTTACTGTATAAGCATGTTACCATTTAATAAATAGGCTGAATGCATCTCCCTCGCGCTCGCTCGCTCGCTCTCTCTCTCTCTCTCTCTCTCTCTCTCTCTCTCTCTCTGTGTGTGTGTGTGTGTGTAAAAAGATATTGCCTCTTACCGCCTCTCCTCTCAAACGAAATATTAGTCTCTCTATAGTAGTAACATAGAGAAGAAAGTTAAATATTGTTCTGTGTTGTTGGAATTGTTTAGTGGGTTTGGATTATATTTAGATTATCAGCTTACAAGCACAACACATATACTGAGATGAGTTCAGCTTGATTTGTGGCAACAGATTCATGCTGTGTAAGGGGACATAACACAAATGTCAAAGTCTTAGTACACTGGGAAAGTGCAGAAAGCCATAATTAATTATAGTGGTAGAGAAATCCAGCAGGGGCAGGGCAGACGGAATTCCTAGCAAATGAACCAGTTTTCCATACTCTACAAATCTTGCATGGAAGCTGGGGGCCAAGGCAGGGTTTAAAAGGTTTCCTGTCCATTGGTCCTAATGGGAAGGCAAATAGTTTCTGGAGGATCCAAAACCTCTGAATCATAGCTGAACAGCCTCTCTGAAAGAGATAAGGGCAGTCAGTGAGCAGACTTACGAGGGTAATCTCCTCTGCCTATATATTTCCGTCTGTCCGTAGAGAAAGAAATGGGCTCTTGTCACCATAAAGGGTACCAATGGGCACCATTGGTAAGCTTAAATGTATCCTTGATTTTGCCCCTGATTAACCCCATATCTGTAGTGTAGGACTGATGCTCCTCCAAATTGCCTCTCCCCTGTGTTCCAGATTGCAGCTCATTTAATTTGTCTCATAGGATTTAGTAGAAGTTATTGGGAACGGTGTCAGCTCACCATCTATGTGACTTTGTCCTGGTATTCATTCATAACTGTGATGGAATCTTAGAACTTACTATGTGATACTATTTTAGCTTTTAATCATTTTAATGGGTGAGTTCTCCCTGGCTTGATGCAGAGCTGACCTGATATTCGTTAGAGTATTCTGAAAAGAAATTGCCTGTTTCCATGCGTTCTCTTCTGAGTTGGTGTTGGGCTTTATATGCTGGTAGTGTTGCATGCATGCAATTATAATTTTGCCCAAAGTGAACTGTAGTACCTAGCACCAGCCATGGCACTTAGAAATTCAGGTAACCCCTTCCCACTGCCTCAGCATGCCAAAGCAGACACACCTGGAATCAAGAAAGGTTTAGATCTGAATGAAAGCAACAAGACCAAAAAATATTTGCAAGAAACAGCTGAGGAAGATAACCATCAAATCAAATTATTTGGTTGCATGGCTCAAAGCCATTAAGAGTAAGGGGTTAACATTAAAGAATTTATTCACATATATGTAATAAAGAACGTCTTCTGCCTGACTGCTGACACTGAATACACAGAATCTTCTTTTTATGTTCCAAGCCATTTTCAGAGAAAATGTATTCTGATTCATAATACATTAATGGATAAATTTAACCAGGTAATAACAAAGTTTGGCAACATTTCTGTGTCTTAAGACTGTGATAAAGGGAGAATGGTGGGATTTGAATAATTATATGGTGTGATAGAAATGAAACAAATCAGCCTGAATCCAGGCAATAAAGCCAAAACTACCAATTTTTTATTTCAAATATTTATATACCTGTTTTATAAAATGTGTTATTGTGGTTGACATACTTAAACTGAAACGATAAAAGGCAGTTCATAAAAACTAAACAGATCAAGGGATAAAGCAGTGAGCTTCAATTTTCATAGGCCAGCTGAAAAGTTCAACTTCAGAAATGGGGCTGCAACAGAGAGGACCCTATATCTGGTGCAAGCCAACTGAGCCCTAGATGATTTTTAGTGTCTGACACAAAAAAAAAGTAGGGCCAGTCTCAAATCCCTGCTTTCCTAGCTGGTTTGGATTGGCTTTTTACCAAGACAGCCAGCTTGAATTTCATTTACAACGGAGAAATCTAGCACACATCACCAAATCAGATACAAGCTGAGCTTCATTCTTCATATACACAGCCCAGTCCAAAATGGCAATATCCATTGGTTTGAACCTGATAACATAATTGTGGAAATACACAGCACTTATGAAGGTAGAAGTTGGAACTTGTGCTGTTCTAGTCAGTTCTAGTCTGGTAATTTGTATTTGGCAAAAAATGAGGTTTTTATGACAAACCTTTAAAAAAAGTCTTTCACATATTTCTTTGGCCTGACTCTGCCTTTATTTTCTGTAATGGTTTCAGTTGCATTTTTGTATCTGCCTTGTTCTTTAATTATTTTTTTCTGTCCTAATTATACAGGAGGTTCTGCCTGTTGCAGGGGTGGAAATGCAGTTAACAGCTGCTGTTTCACTTTTGACTATTCTGCAAGAGGAGTCAGTATCCATCCATACCTACTCCCACTCCTTCCTACACATCATTCTACAGAATCTGGAGCACAGAGATGCAGGTCAGAGGCATGTCATGCTGCTGACTTTTAGCTTGTTGGGTTTTTTTTAGCTTTTTCTTTGCTCAACAGCACACTATTTAAAGCAGCACATGTTACACACACACTAAAATGGTAACAGTGTGGGATTGCCAATAATGGATAATGCAATATACAGTTGATTAGCTGTAATTTCCATTTGTGTTGATTTAAAAAGCTTAGAAGGCTTTATGCACATCAATTTCTCATTGTCTGTGTTTAAATAGATATTTAAATGATAATGGACTAGATCAGCAGGTTTATCAGTCCATCATCAGAAAAACTGACCATGTCAAACCTATAGCAGGGTCAAATTTACTCCAGGAAATCTATGCAGAGAAAATGTCTGGTGGAATTTATTCAGAGTTATACCATTTGCAGTAAAAAAATTGATACCTCTGTTCCAGTAAAACAAAATAATTATAGATAAGTCATTGCTGGTGGGAGGCCCAACAGTACCCCACAATCTGAAGTATAATGGTATTTGAGGTCTAATTGAGTCATCAGTTTTTAAGTTTTTCTTAATATTTAAGAAATTCAGTGTTAAAAGAAGGTGCTATTAATCAGGGCTCTTGAGTCAGCACATAAAACCATTGACTCCAACTCTGACTTCGACTCCTCAATTTATGGTGCTTCTGACTCCAACTACTTTAATGTATATATCAATATAAATTATAAATTTATATATACATTATATACATTTATTTATATATTTATACATAGTGTTGCTGTTGTTGTTAGTTGTGAAGTTGTGTCCGACCCATTCCTCCAGGCCTTCCTGTCCTCTACCATCCCCCGGAGTCCACTTAAGCTCACACCAACTGCTTCAGTGACTCCATCTAGCCACCTCATCTCTGCCATCCTCTCCTTCTTTTGCCATCTATAGTTCCCAGCATTAGGCTCTAAATAGTATAGAAATATACTAATTATTTATTTCCTATATTGATTGAAAGCACTTACCCTACATGGCATTTCACACAACCCACAAGGCTTTTTCACAATCACCATCTTTTATAATACATCGACATGTGCAATATTTCCCATCTGTTGTTATTGCAAATTGTTCAAAAACGGCTGACTTTGTTGACTTTTTTTGCCTTTGTGATTTTTTTCATGGGATGTTCCTTTCATTAATATAGGAAATTAAAATGCATCCTAAAATATAACCTGAAAAAATAGGTTACTCAAATTCTTATCTGTGAAATAGGCAATTTTGACATATTATTTAAATTTACTAGGAGTCAGAGTCAGTACCTTTTACCAACTCTAACCCTAGTAACCCAAGAATTGCCTCTGACTTTGACTCCGACTCTGACTCCATAGCCCTGCTATTAATGGCTGATCCCATTTCTTGTGATAGTAAGGAAAGTCTATTGTGAAAATAAGCAAAAATTGTTTTTTCACCTTCTACATTCTTTCTTTACCTGATGCAAAATGACCAGAAAAGACTCTGAGCTCTGCATCTATAGACATGATGAATAACTAGTGAACAGCATTTGGCAGGGTTCTTTGATCCTGGCAGCTTATGTGGATGGTTCTTATTGTTCAATATGAGTACAAGTAATCCCCCAAAACCATATCAATAAGAACATGAGGGTTTTTTCTAAATTAAGGTCTAACCTCTCCTTCTGAAAGACCACATGGAAATAAACACCTCATCATGGTCGGCAAATATCTGGAACATGGAATTATGGAAGCCTGGAAGGTTAAAGCTTCATCATGTGGTGGTGGTGGTTTCAGTGTGCAATAGACATGACTTGTTAAAAGAAGGTTAAAGCTTGCTTGCTTGCTTGCTTGCTTTTAAATATTTGTATACCACCTTTTGTTATTAAATCACCCAGTGCTGTACAAATACATTTAAACCACAATTAAAATAAAATGCAAAGCTAAAAACAACAAAGAAAATCCACCATGCTACTTATTAAAATCAGCAAATGCCTCGGTATAAATACAGAATTTCAACAGGTGACAAAACTTGCTCAAGGACCGTGCCTGTCACACTCTAGAGATGATTCTGAACAAAGGACATTGCAATAGAAAAGGCTGTCTTCCTTGCTACAAGTGACAGGACAACCAAGTTGTTTGTTTACAATATATACTTGATATTTATATCCTACCTTTTCCTTTAAAGCAACTTAAGCCAGTTTACATTTCTGTATTTATTATATTTATATCCCACTCTCTCCCAGTGTGGAACTCAAGGCTACATGTGATTCCAAGGTGGTCTCTCCTCTAAACACAGGCCAGCCCCAGACCTGGTTAACTTCAACATGGTGGATGCCTTATGTGCCTTGAGCCCATACACTGGACCACAAATGATTCTCCTCTTCCTCTCAATCTTATCATCACAACAACAACCTTGTGAGATAGGTTGGGTGAGTGTCTGTGACTGGCTAAAGTCATCCAGTGAACTCCATGGCTGAGTGAGGACTAGAACCCAAATCTCTGACTCCCAGTCCTGCACTCATAACCACTGTCCCACACTGGTTCTCGGTGATGTTCCATTGCATCACCGAGGCATTTTGTCATACACCTTGATTATGTTAGCACAGTCTGGAAGAAAAATCATATTTTGGATCAAGTAATAGCCCTGTAAAGACAAGGAGGTATTCTGTTTAAAAATAGTTAGATAAAGGAAAGACAAGAATAAAAATTAAGTATTTATAGCAGTGCCTCATTTTTGGATGGTCTGTTTAGTGTTTCCAGAATGGGTAGAACTCATTCTCATACAAAGCAGTTGATATGATCAGAACCTTTCCACAGTAGGAGTTCTACAGTGCAATCCTATGTGCTGAAGATTTCATTATATTCATGGGGATAAGTGTGGATAGCTATGCATCCTTACAATATAATCCAGTGCATGTTTAATCAGAAGGAAGTCCTACTGAGTTAAATGGGACTTACTTCTAGTTCAGTAGGTATAAGATTGTACCATTATAATTTAACAGGTGGCCTCTTGAATTGTAGAAAGTATTTCTCCCAGACAAAAATCATATCTGGTGTGATGGTTTTAATGTTATGACTGCCATTTAACAATATGGTCATTTAAAATCATAACCTGCAGGAGTTACCTAAATGATCTTCATGATATGATGGCAAAAGCATGTATCCATTTGTATTTCACAGGTGTCAGTAATGCTTGGCTAGAAACTCTTCTTGCTGCCATAGAAGCTCTGCCAAAAGAAACCATTAGACATGAGGTAATACTGTTTCTCCTTGAATATTACAGACAATATGGGTGCAAATGAGGGGATCGATTATGCCTCATAGGGTTTTTAAAAAATATTTTTGTTGTTATGTGTCTTCATGTTATCTCTGACTTATGGGGACCCTAAGCAAGAATGCCCTACAAAATGTCCTGTCTTTGACAGCTCCTGTAAACTCTTACAAACTCAGCTTCCTTATAAAGTTGATCCATCTCATAGTTGGCCTTTCTATTCTTCTGCCCTTCACCTTCCCAAGCATTCATGTCTTCCTTAGTGAGTCTTGTCTTTTTTCAATGTGCCCAAAGTACGACAACTTCAGTTTCATCATTTTTGCTAAGAGGGCAAGTCCTGGCTTGATTCACTCTGAGAACTACTTGCTTGTCTTTCTGTTGATCTAAGCTAAGGTATTTGCAAAGCTCCTCTCCAGCACCATGTTTCAGACACATGCATTTTCAGACCAGTTTGCACATCCATACATATTATATTTATTTATTATTAATAAATAAATTTATTATAAATATATTTATAATATATATTATATTTGTACACTATTACTTATATTTATTTTAAATTATATTAATGTCCCCCCCATTTAAAAAAAATACTGAAAGTAGACTCCCAGAGCCTGTAGTCTAGATTAGAAATTTGTGAGGTAGCCCTCCCCCCCAGCCATAAATGGAAATAAAAACTTGTGAAAGTCTATCTGTGTAAGGTAAATATTGTTTTTGTTATTTTAGTTATATTACCATTGTATTATCAAATTTGTTTTATGCTTACAAAGGCATTTAGTTTTACTGCTCCTGCTCTTGTAATTTCATTATGTATTGTCTTTTTATTTGGTCTCCATAAGTTGGAGATGACTTGATGACATGGAACAGCAACAAACTTTATAAACATTACTCATCTTTTCACTTCGTCTCGTTCTTCTCCTACTGGTGGTTGGGCATAACCAGGGCCAAATAGTTTTTAGATATGGCCATGGTAAACAATGATAATTTATTTTCCCCAACCCACTAATTAATAATAATTATAATATTATTCCTTCTCAGCTGACTTTTAATGGCATCAGGCAAAACATATAACTGATAAAAATAGGCAGCAATTGCATTTTTCAGCCTTCATTCTTGAACCATATAAGCAACAGCTTTCTAATATATATTTTGAAAGAAAGCTGAATTCCTATTCCTGTGGCGCTGTGATTGTTACACAGGCTCTAAATCACATTTGAAAAAAGTGGGGAGTGCTATGAAGCATGTCTAGTAAATTAATACATAAAGGCTTATTTCAGATATAATGGGAGAATACAGTTTCCTGCTTCATGAATGACTCTGTATGAAACTTCTTTTTCCATCCTTGCAAGGATTATGAACTTTTGCTTCTAGCTTTAAACTAGTAATAGTGAATCTGATTATGATTGTTCATTCTGCTCCAGCCGATTTCCCTCCCCTTTTCCCCTCTGTACTTGTACTTGCAATGTTGGCTTGTATCTTGATACTGTTAGCTACTTATAGAGACCTGTTGGGATATTGAGCAGCATATAAATTTGATAAACAAACTGTAGTCATCTGAAACCACAGTTTGATCATGGCTTGCTCTTACTAACTGGAACATGGGGGGGGGGGGTTGGGCTGAATTTTATCTGGCCTGCATTGTCAGCCTGTTGTAGCAGTCTTGGACAGATGCTCTCCAGCAAATGGGCTGCACATGAAAAACCATGACTGGGCTGGGTCCTGTCTGATGTGGCAGAAAAAATGATTAAATAGAATTGCCATTTTCAGAAGTATATTATTATTATTATTATTACATTTTTATACTGCCCATAGCCAAAGCTCTCTAGGCAGTTGACAGCAATAATCATAGACTCATACACTCAAGTCACCCATCCCACGCCTAACCCTGCTTAGCTTCCAAGGTTAGGCAGGATCAGGCACTTCAAGCTACCATGGACAAGTTGTGCCCCCACAGCTATAAAAATATCTTAGAGGCACCAGAGGTGAGCCCTAATCCATGTGAAAAGAAAGCTTAATTTTGGCCTAATATGGAATGCGCTCCCCAGAGAGGTCCACCTGGCACTGTCATTATATGTTTTTCAGTGCCAGGTTAAGACCTTTTTATTTAATCAATATTTTAATAATTTTATCATCATATTTTAATTGCAGCCAGAGTGAGTTGTTAATTAATTTATGTTATGTTATATATTTGTATTTTATTTGTGTAAGTCGTCCTGAGGCTTTTGCAAAGGACGGCATTCAAATATCCTAGCTGATAGATAGATAGATAGATAGATAGATAGATAATAGTTGTTGAAAAGCAAGCATAGACAATTGTGGTCCATTTAGTTGAACAGCTGGAGCTCAAGAGCCTGTGTATTACACTTTGCTAGGTACTAGATATCTCAGTGGTGGAGACTGGTGTCTCCAGTGTCAGTGGGACATGCTAGGCTACAACCCAAACTTTTAGAAGGCTTTCCATGGTGATAGAATTCAGCACCATGGAAAGCTTCTTTTAAGTCCTGACCAACACTGGTGGCTCCAGCTGCTACTGCATCCCACCCACTTTTGATTCCCAACAACACAGCAAAAGCAAGTTAATTCCTCTCTTAGTGGGCTGCTGCACAGGTTGTTGGGAAGCAATGCTTGTTCTTGTTTTTATGTCAAACATTATGCAGGTATTCTTTAAAATTCTGCAGAGATGACATGCTTTGAGTATCCATCATGTTCAGTATAATGGTTGCTATAATAACCATTATATAATGGTTACTATTCTCAATTTTATTCATTTTGTTTTAGTAATGAAATAGTACAGTAGGCCTTGCATAAAAAAGATGCATATTTAATTGTAAATTCATATTGCTGTGGCAGGCACCTTATGACAGGAAAATTGTAAACTCACCAAGGAACACTTGAATCATATCATTTGTGGTATAACAAACACATTAATCACTGGAATCCATAATGTTTTTCTCTTTTAAAAATTGTGCATAAAGGGTAAAATACCTTAAAATATTGCTTTCTGGAGAGTCAAAGCATTTCTGTCTAGTTTCTTATAATAAAATTCCAATTAGGAAAAAGTAATTGATTTATTGTATTTCTTCTCTAGAAACACTGTAAAACAAGATAATATTAACTTTCATAACTTGCTTTGTGTAAAATATAATTGGTGAGATGTTTTTAGCTTCATGCCAGTATAGCATGTAGGCTTTTTCAAAATCTAATTAATTAGAGGGAGGAAAGCACTCCAGAATTTCATTTGCTCTAAATGTCAAGTCTTTCTTTGTAGGTTTGTTCCTGATTTCACACTTCATTTGCAGGAGTTTCTCCACAAGCCACTCTTGAAAGAAAGATAAGAATTGGGAATGACTTATGGTACATCCATGCTAGTATAATATCAAGTGATCCCTTACAGGAAATATCACTCTCTTTTAACAGTGGGTTTTCTTATGCAGTTGCTTGTATCTTGTTAAAAAGATGCAAACTTTAATTGTTCTGGACAGTCTTATACTGTTCTGCTTTCAAGTTGTTCTTCTCCCTACTTGTTTATTATCAGAGCCATTAAAATCTTTTAAAAATATTTTATTTATACTATTGGGTAGATGTGTTTATACAGTACCTTTTTAAATATTCTTTACCATGCATTATTTTGACACCTCTATCATTTGACCCTTTACTCACTGTCTTTCTACAGTTGTACCTATTCCTCATAGGGGAGCTGCTTCAGCCCCTTGATCATTTTCATTACTTAATTGGAAAAAGTACTGAGAAAAGCAATGTCCTTTTCAGTTAAAGTGACCAGAACTGAACAAAAGATTCTAAGTGTGGTCATACCAAAGATTTGTATAAGGGGAGTAAGATCTTGGCAGTCTTATTTTCTATCCTTTCCTAATTACCCCTAGCATTCCTTTCTTCACTGCAGTTGATCGATGGGCTGACATTTTCATTGAGCTGTCCACTGCTACCCCAACATCTCTTTCTTGCTCAGTCACTGTTAGCTCAGATCCCATGAAGTTGGGATTTTATTTTGTTGAACATGAAATATACTTGTGCATTGTGCCAAGTTTAGTAATGAGCATGTGAAGGAAAAGGTGATGCAAAGACGGCTGGTCTGGATGGATCTGTGTACCCCTGTCTCCTTGAAAGCTTGGCCTTTTGGCCCCCTGGGACTAACATCAATTATTTTCATCGACTTGCAGGAGTGTTTTCATGAATGGACATTGTAGTGGTGAAAATGGTTCTTAGTTTATGTATGCTTTTTACTTCAGAGAACCTATCTTCCTAGATGTTCTGAAATAAACTACAGCACATTTGTTCCAATTTGCAGACATTCAAGATTAATGGGTGTCAGAACTTCTGGTGATAGGTACAGGGTTAAAGGTGCTTAATAGTATAACAGTTTGAGTTTCAGTGATCTTAACTGTTCTTATTGCACTGTGAAAAAAAGTTCATCTCTTGAAAAGGGACGAGTAGTAATTTTGCAGCATAATCACTAATGTCCTTGGCCTGTGTTCTTTGTGTCCTTACAGAAGGAATTGGAGAGTGGCTCCTTTACCTTTACACCAATGTTAACTTGGTCTTCACTTCAGAATTTTCTCTAAGACTTTTGCAACTGCTTTGTAACAGGAGGCTATCCCACAGATTACATTTTTGTTTTTCTTATATGGAGGTCATTTCTTCGAAGGTGAAAGTGTGTATCCCATAATTGTTTCAAGTGCAGTCAGCTGCACATATGCTGACTGAGAAGCTGAAATATTAAGTTGTTCTTAATGCATATTTTATTGCATTGCTTCTCTTAACTAATCCTAGATTTGTTTTTTGAATTTCTTCTTTGTTTCCTTCATGCAGATTTTGAATCCTCTTGTGTCCAAGGCCCAGCTTTCCCAAACGCTTCAGTCTCGCTTGGTTAGTTGTAAAATCTTGGGGAAATTAGCTAACAAGTTTGAAGCTCATATGTGAGTAGCTTGTGTGTGTTTCAGATGTCCTAATGATGAAATGTTTACACTGGACTACAGGATGACTGGTTTTGTGCTGTGCTACATATATTGACAAGTTTGTATATTAGCGGGAGGCAAATGGTGTCTTCCCCTATATTTTGGCCTGCAGCTCCCCAGCCTTAGCCAGCACTGACACTGATGTGGGATAATAGGAACTGCAGGCTAAACTATCAATAGATCAACTTACCCATGCCTGTTCCACCCTAAAAAATGGTGGAATCCTATCCTGCACAGAGGTTATTTCAGGCTTCTCTGAGGTACTGGAATCTGTTTGCTGGCATTTGGATTTCAAAGGATCAAGAGTAATAATGTAAATACCACAACAAAAACATTTATAGATGTTCAGTCTGGATTCATGATGGTCTTGTTAGTTTCTTTCAAGTCTCAAAAGATGGAAGGTCTACCTATCTATTTCTTTTATCTCTTTACTCTGCACACCTTGGCAAAGCTCCATTTTACTCCTATACCAGGACATTGCCTCAGCTGATGGTATCTAGCAACTGCTTTTCTGTCTCCCCATAAAAGTTAGGTGAAGGCCTTGTATTGTCATGATTTTGTTCCAGCGTAAAATAAGTGCTATGCAAATAAAGTTGTTTTTACTTTACAGACAATTAACTCCATTTCTAAGTATTTATGTTGATATATTGTTATGTGATTTTGTTACACTCACAGTGCTCACTTGCCATCAAGTTTTACCATTTTATGTTGGTGCAAAGCAATAGATGTCATCCTGAGCATGGTGCAGCAGGACTTAGAATTACACTATATGACTGGAATTATAAAATCATCTCCTTCTTGGTCAGTGTAGGTATAGGGGGTGCTATAAGAATGAACCTACTTTCATTCACACCTCCCAGACTAAAGTACTGATCAAAGCATTCACTGGATGCTCAATATTCACTGGATTTTGCATTTTTCCAGTGACTGTAATTCTTGGTTCAAAAAACATTTCAAATACTCATTGTGAGATACTAGGCATTATCTATGTCACCTGCTGCACAAATAGAAGCCATGTGGATTCTATCCTGCAAGTGGTGCCTTTTGTTTCCTCAGTCAGGATTTAGTGCTTCCTCTAGAAGTGGAAATAAGTGAAAATGTCCATTTCTGGAACAGAGTCCGTGGGAAATTTACTGTACATAAGGATGTTACACTGATCTGTCCCAACCCAGAAAAAAAGAATTTCTGCTTATTTCAATTTCTTGAAGGAAACAGTGCTCACTTGGAAGTGCTGGGTGTCACTGGTAGAACAGAATCAGTTGTGGACGCTGCTTGTGTAATTGCACACTTAGCTATTGCCCTGAATTTGTTTAGAAATATGTATTTTGAAGGAAAACCCCAGTTTATGTGCAATCCTATGCATGTTCAGTCAGGAAAAAAGCCCATAGCATAGTTGGCTAGGCATGCTGGGAGTGGTAGGATGTTCTGTTTTTAAATATGCATGACATTGAACCCTTAGACATTTTATATTGTGAGATTGTAATATGTTGTGAAACAAAAGTGACTTTGACTGATGCATCCCGTGAGGTTAATATTTCCTATACTTTCTTCATCAGTAATCTTTCTCAATAAGTTTGGTTAAGAACATTGGACTGCATCTTAGGAAATTCAGTTCTAGTCCCTACTTGGCTATGACGCTCACTGGGTGGCTTTGGGCCTGTTACTCACTGACAGCCAAACCACCTTACTTTGTTATTGTAAAGTGGATTGAATGGGCAGGAGGAGAACCATCTTGGGTTCCTTGCAACAGATAAAAAGGCAGGATATTAATATGCCATATTGTAGTAACAACAAGAACAGCATAAGCCATGTTGTGTTAACATACGTAACCTTTAGCAGAATAGCAATCATTCTAACAGAAAGGATTCTCAGGAAAACATTCCCTACCACATTAGCAAATGCTGTTTGTATTGTGCTAGAGGTCATTTATACTAGTGCAGAAGTGTCAGATCAGAATATTGCCTTTAATCTTATTGATCGTTCAGGACAGATGCCTTTGTTTACTGAATCATAGGAAACTGACTTGGACAATACCAAAGAGTAGAGAATCAGGGGTGAGCAAAAACAACCTTCTCAAATTGACCATTTTCTTAATGGGTTTTGAAGAAGGCCTCTTTTTGTTGACTCTTTTGATGGGTACCCTGAAAAATAAGGGTAAAGTGCTCACCCATATTTGCATTGACAATATTGGTGTCAGTGCTGACCTCAGTTCTTCACTGTTCCATTTTTTCTTATTTTTGTGAGAGAGGCTAGAAACCATTCTCAGAATTATGACTGAACCTCATGATGATGCCAGACAAAATTAACTATGTGATGATATCATGAAGCTACAGCAGAGTGTGGGTGATGCTTTCTGTCCTCACACTGGCATACAAGAAGGGAGGGAATGGCACTGGGCCACCAGAACCATAAGCAGGGAACAACAGGAGTGGGGTTGCCTTGTGTAAAAAATTAAATTGTCCTCCTCCGAAGGTCTTTCATTTTTGAATCAAACAGTATTATTGCAGAACATTTGGCTTGTTTCTAGTATGTACCCTGACCTGTAGAAAGATTCTGAATGACTGACTGAATAATGAAAGAGATCAATCTGGTCAGAACAAATGCATCTTGAATTGATTTAACTCTGTTGAAAACTACTCATATACAAGTTGGCATAACATTTCCCCTTTCTTTTTGGCTTGAAAATGATGGTGACAAAGCAACTAAGGTTGTCTATTTGCATGGTAACATTTGTGTTTTCTGATGTTTTGTGATATTCAACTGAATTTCATAATTAAATATTATTTTAGATATGCTAGACAACCCAATGTGTTCCAAAAACTGACAGCCATTTTTGCATAACAGGTAAACCCTTGAATATTGCTTGTTACATGAAAAAATGAAAATATTTATAATGCCTGCACAGAAATACAGCATGAAGATCAAGATTTCAATATGACATACTTTGAATAGGATATGTCAACTGAATGGAGTGAGATTTTTCCTTCTACTAATGTATACAATTGTTGCCTTTCTAGCATTAAGAGAGAAATTCTTCCACTGGTAAAATCTCTCTGCCAGGATGTAGAATATGAAGTTCGTTCCTGTATGTGTCGGCAGCTGGAGCTCATAGCTCAAGGGATAGGGTGAGCACAATTTTTATAATTAATGCACAGTTTAAATAAGTTCAGGCAACTACTGACCCGGCATGTCATTGGCCCAACACGCATACTCTAGACTTGGTCTTTTCAGCAGGATATGAGGATGGTGCTCTGAGTGTGTGGGACTTTGACTCAGCCTGTTTTTTCATGGTTGTTGGATCACTGGCCTGCTGAGATTTAGACTGACAATGGCTTTTCCCCTCTGCCAGGGTAGGAGACATGGTCACCCCTGGAGGTTAATGGATTGAAATAGCTTCCAGAGGGGTCTGGGGGATTTTCTGGCTAATATGGCTGGCGCTGCTGTTGAAGCGCTGGTCACACTGTGGGGCACAGAAATGACCTAGGCTGTTGACATGACCTCTCCTAAGCACCTTCTTTGTTGTAAAGCTCATATGGCTCCATAGTATACCCTGGAGCTGAGACCAGTGGAACAACTTAAGGGATGACTTGAGTGCAGATGGAGGAAAACTCCCAAGGGGTGCAGTTGAAACCTGGTATGTACCTATCTTCAAGTCTGTTTGATCAGTTGGACTTAAAGTTACTAGCATAAGATCACTTAGTGAACTTCATGGCTGAGTGGCAATTTGAATCTGCATTTTTCCAGTCTTGGGCCAGACTTTTTCAGTAGTTCTAGAGTTTGTTCCAATATTGCTATGTTTTGATGTTGTAAATAACATATTTTCAAAGTAGTTGCAGATAACATTGGCTTTGGATGCATGACATGTATAAATATGAAGGAGCATAATTTTGGCATCTTTGAATGTACTTTACTTACCCATACAGATATACATAAATGGGGAACAGACGTGGTAATGTTTAGGTATCTTCAATGCATGTTACCTACAGAATGGCCAGACTGGATAAGAATTTATGGTTATTGAAGTTATAGGTCTTTTTTTCCTGGAATCAAACATTTATTTGAAAATGACTCAATAAATATGTTCTTTAAATTGAGCTGTGCATGTTTAATAATCTCACTGGTTTTGTTTTTAATATAGCTTGCTTCCATTTTGAACCTTGTTTCTCTTGCTTTTCTGTACATGTATGTGGAAAGTAAACATGCCTGTCCTCATGGCCATACACTCCCTCATTTCTCTACTTACCTGTCATTCATTGGCTTTTTTCCCTTTCTCTCTCCTTTTGAAGCTTAGGTTACTTTTTTTTTTTTTTTGCTTCCCAGTGATGCGGGGGCAGTTTTTCAGTTTTTAAAATTCCAAGAATTTTCTATTTCATAAGCACATTAGTAATAACGAATTGCTGCCAATTGCAAATAGAAGGTTAGGCAAATAGTTTCAGGTCATATATGAATGGTTGTTAGAATACCATGCATAGTTCTTTGGGTTGCTTGCATTTATTAGTGGGTCAGCTGTTTTCAGCACCTTCTTTTTTGCTAAGTGTAAATAATGTTACAGAAATATTAACTTGACTTGCACACAATGGAGGCATTTGGTGGTAAATTATGAGGTAAGTAATTAAATAGACATGGAGTTCCTTACCTGTGCAGGCTGAGTCATTCATTTCAATGGCAAAAGTTGCTCTTCATATATACGCCTTCATCCATGTGTGCTCCTCCCTCCCTTCCTCCCTCCCCACCCCCATGGAAATGAACAGGGGTTTCTTGGAAATGCAACAGCCCTCTGAGTTCAGTGGAGTGCACACAGGGTCCTGCATCAGGGTGTGAAGATGCAGCCCATAGAATGTTAAGGATGGGGCCTCATTGCAATAATTGAACTTGCTCCCATTTCTCTAGGACAAGTACACTGGATATTTCCTGACTTGCATTGTATCCATGGTACCTTGTTCCTATAAACAAGTAAAACATGGCCCTTCTTGTTTTGTTGCATCTGAATTGTCCCTTTCCAATATTAGTACTAGGGCCTGATCCAGAGGAAAGTGACCACAATTTAATCCCACTGAAATTAGTGGTACTTAAGTTGATTGTGACTGACTGGTCCCATAGATTTCAGTTGGACCAAAGTGTAACTAACTTCCTTTGGATCCTATGCATTATTTGTTTTTGTATGCCAATGCAGAGATGTATTTTTTCTCCTATAAGCACACATGTTAAGAGCAATGCAAGAGTCTTGAAGTCCCCAAAGCATTTCTGAACTGACATTTGTATTCTGCCACTCTAAATGTTCTGTTCTTTTTGTAGGACTGAGCTGACCAAAAATGTAGTGCTTCCTGAGCTGGTCGAATTAGCAAGAGATGAAGGCAGCAGTGTACGTCTTGCAGCTTTTGAGACCTTGGTTAATTTGTTGGAAATGTTTGATGCAGGTAAGATTGGAACTAAGTCCAATTGATTCTGCTTCTGCAGCTTTTCTCTGCACATGATTGGCGCAACTGTGTATGCTTTCAATATGTGAATCCTCATATTTTCTTTACGTGTCACAAAGGACAACACTGTTCATTTTTCTAATCTTTTTTGTTTTTCAGATGATAGAAGTCAAACTGTCCTCCCATTAGTGAAATCATTCTGTGAAAAATCCTTCAAAGCAGATGAATCTATTCTGGTTTCATTATCTTTCCATTTAGGGAAACTTTGTAATGGACTATATGGTATGACTGAAAGGTCCTTAAAACTTTATTTTAAGGGGTGCTGGGTTGTTTGTAATTGGGTTGGAATCTTTTAAACATTAGAATTGTAAGCATGCTGGCTTTCCACTGAAATAAAGGGACCTAACATCCAGCTAAATATGATCAGAGAAAAAATGTGTAATTAAGTGTCCAAATTTGCTGCTGCTGCTTTTCCTGAGAGAACAAATGAAATAATATTTATTTGAATGTATAGTTTATTTTTATCTGAAAAATTGAGGGTATATAACAGGGTTAATTATGATATATATGTTATTAAAACACATATAAAATTAAACAGCTAAAAACTAAAAGAATGGTTTAGAGTCTGAGTTGTTTCTGAATCCCTTTTTTTCTGAGAGCAAGTCAGAGAGAAAAAAAAACGGACATTTGTACAAGTGGTGCCTCATAGTTCTAATGACTTTAACTTCAAACAATCCAGAGTTCAAACTTTATTTATTTATTATTAAAAGCTTTTGTATGCTGTCCTTTATATAAATATCGCAGGACAGCTTACAGCAATTTAAAAACAATTTAAAACATCTAATAACATCATCCACAGTTTAAAACAGTGAGTTGAGATAACATTGCTCCGCAGTGCACACAATGCTTCTAAGTTCAAACTGTGAGCAAAGCGAAAAAATGCAATTGTACCAAAAATGTCATTGATTGTGTGCCCAAGTTGGGGAAAAAAATATTACTTCTTTCTTGCCACAATGGGGTATGTTCGAAGTGAGGGGGGCATTTTGAGGAGGATTAATATGTCCACTGGAGAAGGAAATGGCAACCCACTCCAGTATCTTTGCCATGAAAACCCCATGGACAGTACCAAAAGGCAAAAAGTTATGACGCCGGAAGATGAGCTCCTCAGGCTGGAAGGTGTCCAATAAGCTACTGGGGAAGAGCAGAGAGCTAGTACTAGTAGTGCCAGAAAGAATGAAGTGACTGGGTCAAAGACGAAAGAACATTCAGTTGTGGATATATCTGGTGGTGAAAGGAGACTCCGATGCTGTAAAGATCTATACTCCATAGGAACCTGGAATGTAAGATCCATGAATCAAGGCAAGCTGGACGTGGTCAAACAAGAGATGACAAGACTGAACATCGACATCTTAGGAATCAGTGAACTAAAATGGACAGGAATGGGTGAATTTAATTCAGATGACCATCAGGTATACTACTGCGGGCAAGAATCCCTCAGAAGAAATGGAGTAACCTTTATAGGCAATAAAAGAGTAGGAAAAGCAGTACTGGGATACAATCTTCAAAATGACAGAATGATCTCAATTCGAATCCAAGGAAAACCATTCAGCATCACAATAGTCCAAGTCTGTGCCGCAACCACTGGTGCTGAAGAGACTGAAGTTGACCAGTTCTGTGAAGGCCTACAACACCTTCTAGAATTAACTCCAAAAAATGATGTCCTTATCATCATGGGGGATTGGAATGCTAAACTAGGAAGCCAAAAGATAACCAGAATAACAGGCAAGTTTGGCCTTGGAATACAAAATGAAGCAGGGCACAGGCTGGTAGAATTTTGTCAAGAGAATACAATGGTCATAGCAAACACTCTTCCAGCAACCCAAGAGACAACTCTACACATGGACATCACCAGACGGTCAACACAGAAATCAGATTGGTTATGTGCTCTGCAGCCAAAGATGGAGAAGCAATATACAGTCAGTAAAAACTAGACCAGGAGCTGACTGTGGCTCAGATCATGAGCTTCTGGTTGCAAAATTTAGGCTTAAGTTGAAGAAAGTAGGGAAAAGCACTAGGCCACTCAGGTATGACCTAAATCATATCCTGATGAATATACAGTAGAGGTGACAAATAGATTTAAGGAATTAGATCTGATAGACAGAGTGCCTGAAGAACTATGGACGGAGGTTCGCAACATTGTACAAGAGGCAGCAACTAAAACCATCCCAAAGAAAAAGAAATGCAAGAAAGCAAAATGGCTGTCTGAGGAAGCTTTACAAATAGCTGAGGAAAGAAGGGAAGCAAAAGGCAAGGAAGAAAGAGAAAGATACAAACAACTGAATGCAGAATTCCAGAGAATAGCTAGAAGAGATAAGAATGCCTTCTTAAATGAACAGTGCCAAGAAATAGAAGAAAACAATAGAATAGGGAGGACCAGAGATCTCTTCAAGAAAATTGGAGATATGAAGGGAACATTTCATGCAAAGATGGGCATGATAAAGGACCAAAATGGCAGGGACCTAACAGAGGCAGAACAGATTAAGAATGGCAAGATTACACAGAGATGGCAAGATTACACAGAAGAACTATACAAGAAAGAGCTTAACGTCCCTGATAACCACGGTGGGGTGGTCACTGACCTCGAGCCAGACATCCTGGAATGTGAAGTCAAACGGGCCTTAGGAAGTCTGAGCAACAACAAAGCTAGAGGAGGTGACAGTATTCCAGTTGAGCTATTCAAAATCCTAAAAGACGATGCAGTAAAAGTGCTACACTCAATATGCCAGCAAATTTGGAAAACTCAACAGTGGCCACGAGATTGGAAAAGGTCAGTTTACATTCCGATCCCAAAGAAGGGCAATGCCAAAGAATGTTCAAACTACCGCACCACTGCACTCATTTCACATGCTAGCAAAGTGATGCTCAAAATCCTACAAGCTAGGCTCCAGCAGTATGTGGACCGAGAACTACCAGAAGTACAGGCAGTTTTTCGAAGAGGGAGAGGAACTAGAGATCAAATTGCCAACATACACTGGATCATGGAGAAAGCTAGGGAGTTCCAGAAAAACATCTACTTCTGCTTCATTGACTATGCTAAAGCCTTTGATTGTGTGGATCACAACAAACTGTGGCAAGTTCTTTAAGAGATGGGAGTACCAGACCATCTTCTTTATCTCTTGAAAAACCTATATGTGGGTCAAGAAGCAACAGTGAGAACTGGACATGGAACTACTGATTGGTTCAAAATTGGGAAAGGAGTAATTCACTTTCTATTATTTCTAATGGGGACAATTGATTCGGACTTCAAACAATTCAGAGTTCAAATGGTCTCCTGGAACAAATTAAGTTTGAAGTATGAGGCACCAACGTATTATTGTTTGGGAATTAAGAGAATTCTGAGGTCAGTTCCTTTCATGGTAGGATTTTACTAATTTCAAGCTTAAATGCAAACTATCTCCTCTGAGCTGGCCAAAGAGATTCCTGAACTGTATGTAAGGCTCAAATTGTTTTCAATCAAGAGTTAGTTACTTTTAAGTGGCTATTGAATCCATTTTATGGATTACCCAGGGTCTGGTCTGAGGTTTTTGCACTAAAATATAATTTGAAATACAAGTTGCATTCTCTAAATGGAGTCTTTTCACAGGATGAGGATCCAATATATCAAAATTCTTCCTGTCTTGAATGTGAATTCTGTCAGTATGTAAAATCCTTGCTGAAAACCTCATAAACTACAGTCAGGAGAGGTTGGCTATTAAGTTCTTAGCTCGAATGAACCAAGACTCCCCTGTATAATGTTCTTTCCTTGTGATATTTATAGTGTGTTAGCAGTTACCTGCTTCCAAAATGTTGCAGAAGAGCCCAAAATAGGAATTAATGACCACTTTCCAGAGAAATATGGAGCTATAGTCACGTGGAATTGTAATTATAATTAACTGTGTCTTAGAAATGTTGAAGTCCCTGTTTCTAATGTGATGTGAAGGACTGAGCTCTGTGGACAGAAAAAAAGTACCACTGCAAGTGAGCAAGCTTTCTGTACATTTGGAAGTGTTTATTTTGTGTCCCTTTTATTAGCAAATACTATATGTCCCAAATGCAGAGATAAGAATATTATTGCCATGGGTAAACATTTGGTTTCTTCAACTATTTACTGCGTCTTCATGCTGATGCAGAAAGTTTTCTACAGGAGAGTCATCACATACAAATGATTGAGGGAGTTGAACTGTGCTTTCTGAAGAAAAGCTCAGTTGATTCATGTTATGCAGTATATTAACCTCAGAGCAACCGTGTGTGGTATTCTGTTCAGAGTGATTTGCCCAATATGACTCAGTGATCTTTGAAGCAGAGCAGAGATTTAAATCTAAATCTCAAGAGTCCTGAATTGAACACGATTCACTATTCAGGTTCTCGTGACAGTCTATTACCACACCATTATGTGAACATAAAATATTGAACTAGTATTTTATGTGTTTTGAAGGAATTTTTACACCAGAGCAGCATTTGCGATTCTTGGAATTCTATAAGAAGCTTTGCACGCTTGGATTAGAACAGGAAAATGGGCATAATGACAACCAGGTACAACTCCAAACACTAGAACAGGAAAAGAAGTACATTTCAGTGAGGAAGAATTGTGCATACAATTTGCCAGTAAGTGAACTGCTGTTTTACTTAAGTATTTATGATTGTGTATAATATAATTTATAAAACTACTATTGGTTTTAAAGAGGCAGTATATCCATGCAGCATACTTTTTCTAAACCAGAAATAGAATCATGAGGCTAAATGGGTTGTATCCCTTACATTCATGATGGCTGTGGCAGAGGGTGAGTTTGAAAAGAGGAGCAGGAGCTGTTGCTTGCCTGGTATGTGCCCACTGCTATCACTCTGTATCCTACTATTGCAAGTAGTACATTACATGGAAACATGAGCTTTCCCAGCTGTAGTGTGCCTGTTGTTGACTAACTTTCTGCCAGTGACTTGGCATGTGCCAACTCTGGCATGATTTTTGGTGCCAGATAAATACCTGGCCTTTTCACTCAGGTTTTTCAGTCTCAGTGTCCGTCTCTGGTTTGACTTACCTTGTAGAATTTATACTAGCTTGCTGATTCATGACTGTATGGTAAAATATTTGCATTGATTATACCCTGCCCTGAGATCTTCTTTTATACACTGGGTTATAACTGTTGCCATTGATTATTAAATAACTTGGTGACCATTGTTCCTTGTTCCAGATTATTTGATGTACTTCTGCCTGTTACCATCTGAAAACAAATGTGAAAAAGAATACCTTCCTTGAGAAAGCTACTAGGATACAAATTATGTTCTCATAATAGCACAGAACTTCCATAAGTGGAGGCAGCAGCTATAATTCTTGGTGTAATTTGGTTGTGTTGGGTGGATTTCTGGAGTTGCTCAATTACTAATACAACTTTATAATCATCATTGGTTATAGCAATGTTTAGAAAATAAGAAGAGCCCTGCTGAACAGACCAAGAATCTATCTGATCCAGTATTCTCTTTTCCCAACGTAGCCTACCAAATGCCTTTGGGAACCCCACAGACTGGTGGAAAGGCAATGCCCTTCTGACACTTTTGCTCTCCATATTGCCTCTGAACATGGAGGTTTATGGATCCCATGAATTACTTACAAAGCATGTAAAGACAGACCTGTTCTGTCTGTCCTCAGTCTGCTGAGAATCAGTTTTATTGGTTGATGCCAAACACTGGTCTTCTGAGAGGAAGTAATATATTTTCTTTGTACTACACATATTGTTATAAACCTCCAAAGAAGTGTTCTTCCTTGTGCCAGAGTAAAATGGCCCTTGCTTGAGTAGGGGTTCTCACACATGCTAACAACTTTTTTGATGCTCCAGTTGCAGTGTTGGAACTCCACTGGTATAACACAAAATTAATATGTACTAATTTCATTAAATACTGGTCCACTGTCTGTTCCTAGGCCATGATGATGTTTGTGGATCCAAAAAACTTCAACTTGGAGCTGTACTCTACATTCTTCTGTCTCTGCCATGACCCGGAAGTGCCAGTCAGACATACTATGGCTATTGGCTTCTATGAAGTAAGTCAAGCAATTGCACACAGCTTGGAGAAACACTGTTTAGCTTGATTTTAGGAGATGTTCTATGTAGAGAATCTAATTTGTGTAATGCCTTTGAGACATTTGTAACCTATTTCAAAGAGCTGTATTGTTGTTTCTTGCAGTAATGAGGCAAAGCCAAAGTTTAATCTTGCCTCACAAATGTGCATCCAGAGTAAGGTAGATATTAAGGTCTGCTCAGATATGTATCCTGTCTAAATCAAATATCGCATTAACTGCATGATTATAATCAAGTCTACTTAAGGGTGCTGCTAACCATACAATCCTAAGTAGCAAATCCTGTTGATCTCAGTGGAGGCTCCTCCCTATTAAGTGTGTTTAGGATTGCAGCCTAAGTAGTTCCTGTACTATTTCTTAGTTAAATGGCTACAATCTAACACATTAAGTGAAATCGGGCTTGGCTATGCTTAACTATATACTAGATCAAATGTTGTGATGCTAACATACTTTATACTTAATATTTTTTTCCAGTAATCTTCCATTAAAATCAATTCCCCGTTGCCCTTTTTTAAAATCAAAAATGACCCTGGGCACAATCTAGAGTATTTAAGTTTCTGCTAAATGCTGTCACTGAAGCTGGTGTGAATTATAAGCAGTTGGCTTTGGCTGCAGTGTTAGTAGTTTTTGGGCTGATTCACACCTCTGCTTTGGGGCTTGGCTTATCTTATATGTACAAGGCCTTTTTGAATTATGAATAAATAAAGTACAAGGGGCCCTGAGCAGTTCACTGTCAGCATGAGTTGTGTTATCAGCACTCCAGATTTTTCTCCTACAGCTATTGTGCTTTTGGCAAACTGCTTAGACTTCATACAGTGAAAATAGTTTATCACTTGAAAAGGTCTTCATAAGCTTGAAAATAAGAATTTAAGTGTTCAAGAATTCAAACTGAAGGAAGTTTGAGTTGACAGATAATAGAAGGCAATAGCTGAGTTATAACTGAATAGATACAATATGATAGATATTTTACTTTAGAAGCAAAATTAATTTGGATCAAAAGGAAGTTCTATTTCCATGTCATCAAATAGAAGAAAATAGCATTTTGGGGGGAAAAGAAGCCAAATCAAGGGGAAAGGAAGTTAGACACAGGTGTGAGTGAAGGAATAATTGGCACTACTTTTGCTTGACAGATGAAGGACAGCAGGACCTGTCATTTTAATTAGCCATTGCTTTATAATAATTTTAAGTCCTCATCTGAATCACTTTTGCTATGAATGAAAACCTATCTATTAGATGTTTAAAATGAAGTCTTCAGTAACCTTTACTATGGTATATACTAAAGTAGCAATTAATAATCTACATATTTCTGTTATTGGAGGTATTTTAAATGGAATGTTTCATGCGGAGAACTAATTCCTCTTCCATTTTTGATAATAAATAACCATGTCTCTTATGGAATTTGTTTCCTTGAAATAGCTAGAAAAATAATGACACCATTTAAAAAGAAAATTACAGCTAGTCAACTCATTCATTTTATATTTAATGTTAATCTTAAATATTAAGGCAGGGGCCCTCAAACTTTTTCAACAGGGGGCCAGTTGCCTGGGGCCAGCGGTGGGCGCGGGCCACCAAGGCTGTGCTGGCGGGGGGGGGGGGGGGGGGGGCGCAGGCTGGTGTGGAGGCGGGGTGCCTGTGCACGCGCATGCACTCGAGGTGAGGCGGGGACGGGGAGCGTGGGGCAAGGGGCCGGCTTGCTCAGGAGGGGATCGTTTTCTCCAGGTGAGTCCAAAATGACCTCCCCGTGAGCAAGCTGCTGCCAGGCGCACGCATGGCGAGGCGTCGGTTTGCTCACGAGGAGATCATTTTCTCCAATCGAGTCCAAAACGGTCTTCTTGTGAGCAAGCTGCTGCCAGGCGCTCACTTGCTCATGAGGAGATCGTTTTCTCCGAGTGAGTCTAAAACAACCTCCTCGTGAGCAAGCTGTGCATGCCCTTGCGTGCGCCGAGTGAGTGCAAAACCTGTGGGGCGGGCCAGTTAAAAGGGCATGGCGGGCCGGACCCACGGGCCTTAGCTTGAGGACCCATGTATTAAGGGCTCTACTCAGTGTGATGCTACCACTCACACTATTGAAGTTACATGAGCACGAACTATCGCTAGTGCAACACCAAGGACTTGCTGGCATGAAGGTTTCTCTGTAAAATCCACCATGGCAGCAGATGCTATTGGCATTGCCCTAGAGATGATCTTGTATCATCTTACTTACTGCCCTGAGAATGTACTCCTTGATGTTAAAACTAAGGTAGGATTCTACAAATCAAGTCTACCACATCTGAGAGTGCCCCCCATTAATAGTTAGCATGAAATCATTGAGAAATAATAGGTAAATATTAATAATGAATAGTGTATAAAATAAAATAGTGCACATGCATGCATATTTGCAAATTTTGCTAATGGCAAATTTGTGTGCATTGTGAATTAAGTTTTCTTTTTCTTTCTTTTTTTTTGTTTTGTTTTGTTTAGGTATTTCCAAGTCAGTTTTCAATTTGAAAAACTAACTGGGTAACAAAATCAATACAAAGAAATTAAACAATGATACTTAAAGCAAGAAAAAAAAAATAAAACAGATTAAAACTGGGACAGACTAAAACCCACATTTAATAAACAGTGAAATAAACCCATTCAATAGAAAACTTTTTGTTGAAAAAACAGAAAAGCTTGGCTAAATAAGAAAAATCTTGACCTTGGACCAGAAACTTGGAAGGTGCTATTCTGTAAGTGGGATACTTCCACTGAAATGACTTCTTCCCAGTTATCACCTGTCATGCCTCCGAATGAGATATTTCCTGAGTAGTTCTCAGTGGCTGTTCCAAATATAGGACATTGCAGTTCTCCAATTTAATGAGGAGGGTGTGCAGCTAGCACATCTAACTTTAGTGGTTGAAAGGGGCCTTTGTGCCACAGATACTACCTGTTAATTCAAAGGCTGGACATAACAGTACATTCAAAATGCAAATCTTATCTTTAAGGGATGGGATAGTGCAATCCCATCTGGACAAATTTGAATGCTAGACATCGTTGGTCACTATAACTACAGGACATGTATCTTACCTGGACTGAGTTGCAATTTGTTAGCCTTCATCCACTTTGTTAGTGACTTAAGGCACCTTAGAATTTTCACTACCTTACCTGAAATAGAAAAAGGAATCTAGAGTTAGGTGCCATTAGCGAATAAATAAAATAATGGTCATTTCAAGTGTCTCCCATAAGCTTTATTTAGATGCTAAATAGCTTGGGGATACGATGGATTCTTGTGGAACCCTATAGCCAAGTTCCCATGGGGCGGGTTAACTATACCCCAGTGCTGTCTTTTTGAAATAATCTACCAGGAAGGAACAGAACCACTAATGATACTCCTTGTACCCAGCCCAGATAGAGAATCCATAAGGATAACCATAGAGGATAATGCTGAGAGATCTAGGAGAATTAGTGGACCCTCATTCTTACTATTCTTCTCATGGTATAGGGTGTTCAACAGAGTGACTGAGTAGTGTCAGTTCTAAACTTAGATCTGAAATCAGATTGAAATGGATTGCAATTATGTGTATCATCCAGGAGCTCTGGAGTTGGACAGGTACCAGCTGCTCAAGTCGTTTTGCCCAATAGAAGATGTGTGACTAGTTGATAGTATAATCATCAAAGCCCAAGGAACATTCTTTGGAAGCATGTGTACAGTTGCATCTTTCAAGCCTACCAGGACCATTCCCTCCCTTAGCAAAGCATGAATTACCTCCTGGATGCTGCCTTCACTGTGGAGTAATATTTAGTATTTCTAATTAACCAAGTGATTCAAGCTAATAGGAATTACACGGGAGAAAAATGTAAAATGTCAGGAAGATATTTCAAAGGAGATTTGGAGTATAAAAACTAGCACACTGCTATGTTAGTAACCAAGAGCACAATTTCAAGTTTGCAGGTGCCAGAATGTTCTTTTTCTCTGTTTCTTACAACATGATGCTATATACAAGAAGCAGGAAAGGAGCATTACTTCAACACCGTTGAAACCTGGTTCTTGGGATTAGAGATCTAAACTGGTTTCCTTGTGGCTATTCAAGCCTTGTTGAAATATAAACACAACCAGATTAAAGGGTTTAATGTCTGTGTTTTGCTGGTTCTTTACTTTACAGGTTGCTAAGCTTTTAAATACCGATGTGTATGTAATACATAAAGAACTGGTAGCCCTGTTACAAGATGAGTCACTAGAGGTAATAATGGATTTATTGCTTATGTTAAGATCCTGTACAATTATCTTAATTGATAGTATAACCAGACGAAGTAAGAAATGTTTAATGGGATGAATCATTTCTATTTGTTTCATGGTGTAGTCATAAAAAACATGGTAGGTGTTGAGTATAGATTTATCTAGAAAGGATGACTGAAGACTTTTTGTTTAACCTCATATGATACCTTCCCAAGAGGCTGAAAATGTGAAGCTAAATGAATTAGCATATGGTAGACGCAACAGTGTTAGAGAAGCTGCACTCCAAGAGGCATAAATAGTGGATTGACATCAAACTGGAGTGGGGTCACTCTTGCGTTCATTGACTTTCAATGCCTTTGCTGATAAATTGGTGTTGAAGACACAAAGCAAAGAGGGATTGCTAGTATGTTGTAGGACAAGCAAAGAAATCATGTTTAAAACTCATCATGTAGTATCTCTCGGCTTTGCAGTAATAAGATCTTATTCGGAGTGTTCAGTTTTGTCACAGAAATTATTTTGGTAGTTCAGAGTAGATGAAATGATTCTGTACATGGCAAGGTATAAGAGGAAAAGCCTGAAGGGATTGGGCATGGTTAATCTAGAAAAGAGATGATAAAGGAAGCATGCTGATGGCTTCCCACTGTTTTAAAAGATGTTGGAAAGAAGAGAAGTCATAGTGTTTGGTGCTATCATATTCCCTCTTCATCTTTTCTTCCCCAAGGAAAATCACAGAATTAGAAGGAGGAAGATTTCATTTCATTGATTAGATTTGTATCCTGCTCACAAGCCAAAGTTTTCTGGGCAGTTTATGAAGTTGAAGGGCTTAAAAATAAAATATTATAAATAACAAAAACTGCTTACAAACTCATGTCATGCACACACGTACACACAAACCCTTTGTTGAGTTCCGTGTTCAAAAATCTTAATGCAGTAACTGAAGAGAAGTAGTCATTTTGTGTCATTAATGAATAATCTTCCTTTGAGTTTTATCCAGAAAAGATAGATAGGAATCATTGTTGGATAAGGCATCCTGCAGAACTGGTGAGGTGGCTCACTACCTGGAACTGCTGCAGAGCAATTTATGAAGGAGGGGGATTTCTACTACTTGTAAGAAGTATGAGATAACTCTGTGCATGTAAGAAGCATTTGCTAAATGGAAAGGCAGCTTTGTTGATGTCAGCAATGTGCACCAAAATCAACTTTGGTGCACAGTATCAGGAACTTATCAGTGATTTGCATGTCACTAATTGTAACTCCTCCTCCATCTCTTGGCACTTAAAGGAAAGGGTAGGAATTCCCCACCCTCCTGAGTGTAGTGGGTGACAGTTTCAAGCAGCAGATTCCTTTACTGGACATCATTCATCTTGTCTTTTAGAAAGGCATTAGATCAAGGTTAAATCATGTTATAGAGAAGTCTAAATGAAAGAATGCAGAGCTTATATGTAAAGATCAACACTGTTTATTAATGATATACTTTTGTTTGTCACATTGATATAAGGAGGCTCTTGGAATGGGTACTGGATATGTGACTGATCCATCATTTCTTTAACTAGGTATTAGATGCATTAATTGGTCACCTTCCTGAAATCCTTGAACTGTTGTCTACTGGAGGAGAAAACAATGGCTCAGAGAGCAAGGTAAGGCAGTTGAACATGGTCACAGAATCCTATCATGAGTGGCAAAAATGCCTGCTAACCACACTCCCACTTATCTGATCTTTCTGACTGTCAGCACCTAGTGCCTTTTAGTGCAAATATATTAAATAGGATTATTTCCAGTGCTCAGGAGTCTTGGAAAAAATACCAAACTGACACCATATGAACTATGTTAGAGATGACAAGAAAATAAGAATTTGGTTGACATCCAAATAGTTCCAAGTGAATGCCTAAGGCTCTTGTGCACAAACAGGAGAGTTCTTGGTTTCTCATTTTGCCTGCAGTATCTTGCTCAACTCAAAGTGTGGGGGTTAACCTTTAAAGTCCTAAATAGTTTAACACCAGGTTATCTCAAGGAAGCTTTTCACCTATGCAATCTAGGATTGTCACAGTCCTCTTGGGAGCTGGCTCTTTATTGTTGGTCAGACCTCTTCCTGTAGCTTCCCTGGCTTAGGAAGTGAGCTGAGCTGAGAACAAGTCTGCAAACAGTCATGGAACTCCAACAGTGTGAACAACAGCCTTCTTCTACAGCATGTGCAGCACAAACAAAGTCTGTAAATCATTTGTGTGGACGCTCAATTCCTGATGGGCATCTGTGTGAACACTCAGTGCCAAGTTGGACTCAAGGCAGGCTGGAGTCCAGGAAGCAAGCTGCGAGAGTCCAACAGATGCCCATTCCCAAAGTGGATCTTTACCTAATACAATCCAACTGGATGTTAACATCAGCCTCTGACTCCAATGATACGATCAATTAGGTTGGTGAGCAGTGTCTTCTCAGTGGTGACCCTCCAATGATGAAGCCCTCTCTCAACTGAACTATGTATGGTATTTATAGTTTGGACCTTTAAAAATTGTTATCTGTTCCAGGGTTCCTCTTCATCTATGTATTTTTACTGCTGTTATTTTGGGGCTCTGAACTGCCTTAATGTATCTTATGAAAATGTGTGTAGCATAGCTGAGGCTTATGTTTCTAGGCCTCTACTGTATAACTATTATATTATGATTTGATGAGTAATCGGCAGTATCCAATGCTGTCTAAGCCACAGCAGGACCCACCACTTGTGCCAAAGGAATTTAGTTTGGGATAGGAAGTGGGAATACTCTCTTCTGGAATAGGGCAGGTTAGCAGAGCTTACATAATAGAGCTCCAGCAACTTTTCTCAGTCTAGTTTCTCAGCTTCTTTTTGTTTTGGAGCTTGCTTTCTGAACTGCTAGATTCCCATTGTTTACGTGGGATTGGCAAGAGCACAGCTGAACTACTGAATGCTACCCAATGTGTCTTCATGTACTTTATTTTATGACAGCATTGTGTGAGGGACAACTCCTAAAAGGCAGCTTAAAAGTATCTTAAATTAATCAAACATGGTGTTGCTTCTTCTTTAGTTACTGAACTTCCCAGAGTTGATTCCGGCATTAACAAGAGCAGAACAGAGAGCAGCCACCTCTTTAAAATGGAGGACTCATGAGAAGCTACTACAAAAATATGCCTGTCTGCCTCATGTCATTTCAAGTGATCAGATTTATTACCGCTTTTTGCACAGAATGTTGACAATCATTATGACAAATGTGAGTTACCATTGATCCTTCTCTTTCACACACTTACTGTTTTGTATGTCTTTCTCAAGTATCAGAGGCTGTATTATACATTGCCATTCTGTCCGGGATACCCATGGAATTGTAAGCATGTGTCTTGGCTATACCGCTTCAGCATGTAAGGCAGGTTCATGATTCAGTATTCCTCCTTACCTGCCAACAATATATGTCTTCGTGTACATCCAGGGAAGTTAGGCTCGAATACTTTCCTTTACTGTCCCTATTTATATACACAGGCAGTGCTTTGTACAGAGGAACATTCAATTATCTAAGTTGCTATCTGCTTTCGAAAGTGTCACTCCTCAGATGCAGGTTCTTTATCTCAATGCGACCTGCTTGCAGTTGCATTGGTTGTGGAAGAAAAGTAGTATAATGGCTCTTTGTTGAATTGCTTGTACTCAACTAAATCTGCTGAGAGAGGCTGCTAGTTCAGGATCTGTATTCTTCAAATATGGTAACAATTAAAATGATGAGGTGGGAGAGACCATAATTCAATCCAGGCAAGGCAGAGGTTCTGTGGTTTGGGAAGGCAGGTAATTTGGATAGTGGTGTAGAACTGATCATGGATGGACTCCCCCCTCCCCCCTCCCATTGAAGAATCAAGTGCATAGCCTGGGGTGGAGGTTCTGGGATGCTTCTGGACTGCTGTCTGGAGAAGCCCAGGTGCTGGCAGTGGTCAGGAATTGTTTTTATCAATGTTGGCTCGGTTGCCAGTTGTGACCCTCTTTAGAACAGCCAGATCTGGTCTTAGCTATTCACATACTAGTCACTGTTGCACTACATAATTTCCATGTGCTTTAAATGGGGCAGCCCCTAAAAAGCATTCAGAAGCTTCAGCTAGTGCAACAGGTAGCCACATGGATGCCAGTGGGACCAGGATACAACTATTACATTGATTTTGAATTCACTTTCTTGCACCTATACATCCACTTAGAACCCAATCAAAGAACTATTATTAACATCCAGTGTTTTATATGTTTGAATATATGGCTCTGCCCTCATGCTGAGATATGTTTCAGAGCCCCAGCTTGAATGATCCATTAAGTTATGAGTCACAGGGCCTTCTCTGTGGTGGCTTCTGAACTTTGGAATTGCATCTCAGTGGGCTTGTAGCTTTCCTCCACTTTTCAGTTGCTTAATCAAGCAACTGCAAGCAGCTGCTATGGTAAAGAACACCTGTCTTTTTCATTATTTATTATATGTCTCTATCATCCATGTATGGACAGTTTACATGACAGCAGTATAACCATAAGTTTCGATAACAGAGTAAAATGTAATATAAACTGTACATTTAAAATGGAGTAAAACCCAGGTAGTTACCAAGGTGAAAGCCAGCAGCAGTGCAAAGTTCTAAAAAAATGCACTAGCACAATTTTTAGGGTTGAAGTACTAAAAAGCTTGGCAATATAATAAGGTCTTCATCGGCTGCTGAAAATGTAGGTGTCAGGCAAGCATCTCTGGGGAGGTTCTTCCATGAGGTGCCACCTTTGGAAAGGCAGGGCTCTCAGGGAAAGGTTGCTGAGGATCAGGCAGGTAAATTTATTTATTTATTTATTTATTTGGAATTTTTGTATGCCGTCGCATTTGCATAAGTCTCAGGACGGCTTCCAACATCATAAATAAATCCATATAAAATACATACATATAAATATAAAATCTGGAAACATCCTGGCTCAATATTATAGAACCAATAAATAAAATCAATAATTATTAAAATATCATTTGAATAAAAAGGTCTTGGCCTGGCACCAAAAAAACAAATAACAACGACGCCAGGCGGACCTCTCTGGGGAGCGCATTCCATAAGTGGGGCGCCACTGCAGAGAAAGCCCTCCTCCGGGTACTCACCCTCCTAATACCTTTCACAGAGGGTTCCCGGAGAAGGGCCTCTGCTGCCAATCTCAAGGAGTGGGAGGGCAAATATGGCCGCAGGTGTTCCTTTAGATATCCAGGTCCCAAGCCTAAATACAGAAAGCTGTGACCCTTCAACTTCTTTCTTCAGGTAGTACAGTATCATGTCGTATGTTTATCATGTACATTGCTTAGGGAGGGCATGACCCTATATAGTTGTGCATAAGTCAGTAAAATGAAACAAAACAATAATTAATGAAAGTGATTGAGTCAGGTCATATTGAAGTTCTCCTATAGACCATTCTGGACATTGGTTAGTTTCTTCCTCTGGCTGGCATCCAGTAGCAATGATCATCTCCAGTGGGAGGAGCTACTCTTCAGACCAGCCTTGCCTAGTGTTGGAGCAAAAGGATCTGGATTGCGCTCTATGGTGCTTTTGAGCCAGTTATATCTCTATAAAAATTAGTTTTGTTAGATTTCCTTTTGGAATTTTCCCTCTTGATAATTTGCAGTTTGGGAAGGGAAAGGGAAACATCTCATAGGGTATCCTCAGGTATAAAAAAACACGGCCAAAATCTTTCAGAGACTTACTACATAATTGCCAGCATTCCCTCCTTAATGGGAATAAATCCCATTGATTTATTTTAAACAAGTGACTGATTCTTTAAATGTAGGAGAGAATATGGAAAAAGAGAATAGTTTCCTATAGAAAAAGGCATTAGACAAGGGTATATTTTATCTTCCCTTCTATTCATTTTGTATGGCAATCACATCATATGGAAAGATGAATTAGGAAGGAGGAGTGAATTTGGGGGAAAATCTATCAAAATTGAAGTTATGGATATGATACTATATTAATGACAGAAAGCAGCAATGAACTGAAATGACTTCTGGTAAAAGTGAAAGAAAAAAGAGCAAAAACAGAACTGCAGTTGAATAGTAAGAAAACAAAAATCATTGCTACAAAGGAGTTATACAACTGTACTGTCGAAAATGAAGGAATTGAAATTGTGAAAGATTTTGCATATCTTGGCTCAATTATGAATTCAAAGGGAGACTGCAGCCAAGAAATTAGAAGACTGAGACTGGGAAATGCAGCACTGAAGAACCTAGTAGAAAAGTTCATCAAGTACAAGGATGTTTCATGGGAGACCAAAGCCAAGATCATCCACACTGTTGTATTCCTGATCACAGTATATGGGTGTGAAAGCTGGACAGTGAAGCAAGATGAGAGGAAAAAAAGGATGCTTTGAAACATAGTGGTGGAGGAGACCTTTATGAATACCCTGGACTGACAGAAAGATGAACAAATGGGTCCCAGATCAATTCAATCCAGAACTTTCCCTGGAAGCAAAAATGATGAAACTGAAGTTGTTATACTTCAGGCATACCATGAAAAGGCAATAATGCTAGGCAAATTTGAGGGCAGAAGATGAAGAGGAAGTCCAAATATGAGACCTTACAGGATTTTACAAATGAAATCCTGTAAGCTATGACTTTGAGCTTACAAGATCTGAACAAGGTTGTCAGATATAGGACATTTTGCAAGGCATTTGGTCACCATAAGACAGAGATGACTTGACAGCACATAACAATATATTATTCAGTATGAGAGATTAGACGAAGTCTTAGAGGAGGAGGATCTCTGGATGCAAGATGCAGGATGGTTGTAATGTATAGCAGTCACCTTCCCCCACCCTGCTCCTCCTCTTTCAAGGTGGGAGGGAATAGCTGAATTCGTATACGTGTGAGAAGATGGGAGATTGGGCTTAGCAGTCTTCTGTGCTCCAAAGCTCAGGTTTCAGTTTTCCTCTTTGTGTGGGTTTTGATGCTGAAGAGAAGTACTGTAGTGAAAAAGGTGGGGATTGGTAGCAGTGGTGGCTGAAGTGATGGACTGCGGGAAGGGGAGAGGGAAATCTGTTTTGTGATTTGCTGTATGCAGGCAATGTGTATCTGGGCACAGTCTGTCATGAGCAAGAGATGTAAGGACTATATAATGGCTTTGCAAATAAGCCCACATGTTAATACCCTGCAATTTTTGTTTTACTGCTTTTTCTACCAACAGACCAGTGCAGGTTAGTTAGGCTTCTGCATAGCCAGCATAGCCAAGCAGAGTAATGTAGAAGTGTCCTTTATTATGGATGGATTTCACGGTATCTATTTTGTTCTTCTGTCCTCCTTCTATCACAAAATACAGAAAACACAAAAGACTTTGTGTGAAATTTTTTTTTAAAGCAGGAAGCATACTGCTTTCTCCTGCCATGGCAATTAAGTCATGCTTCTTGTTAGACTCAAATGGATTTTAGCACTGAGACACATAGTATATGAAATAACTCTTAAGATTAAAAGTAAGGAAGAATGTGAACTTCCCTTGGGCCTGGATTGTAATTTAAGCTTAATAATCGAACAAAGGAGTTCTGTTTTAAGTTTTCCAAAGATTTATACCACTTTTCTAAGTGTGCTAATATAGAATCAAGCCCTGTGTATGGTGGTAATGGAGGTGGTGGTGGTGATGAGCTGGCGTGTCATCTCTGACTTATGGTGACCCTATGAATGAATGCCTCCCAAAATGGCCTGTCCTTGACAGCTCTGCTCATCATTTGCAAATTCCAGACTGTGGTTTCCTTTATGGATTATATCTATTTCATATTTGGTCTGCTCTTCTTGGCCTTCAACTTTCACCAGCATGACTGTCTTCTCCAGTGAATCTTGTCTTTTCATGATGTGCTCAAAATATGACAGCTTCACTTTTGTCATTTTTATTTGATTTGATCTGAGACCCACTGGTTTTTCTTTTGGTCCAGGGTATTTGCAAAGCTCTCCTCTGGCACCATGTTTTGCACACACTCCTTTTCATCCTTTCAGCTTTCTTCACTGCTTTCATCTGTGCTTAGGTATCAAAGGAACATGGCTCATTCTGCAGAGTTAGAAGTTCAGAAACACACATTCCTGGAGAATCAGAAGTTCAGAAACACTTACAGAGTTTGCCTGCTTCCTAAAGTTTGCTCTGTTCACTTCAGTGGATAGGGAAGATAATTTTTTGTCAATAAATAAGGCTGCTTACTCTCCCTTCCTGACTTCCTGTGTTCATGAGCAAAGAAAGGCTCACATCAACTTCAAAAATGCCTTTGTGTACCCACCAGGATTGTCTCCATATTGTATTTTGAATGCTCTTAGCATAAGTTTTTTTTTGATAAAATGAGGGAAATATAGCAAACTTCAGAGCCCAAAATATTTGCAAAGAAGTAGATCTGCTGTGAACAGCTTTGAAAATTTGCCACTCACTGTCATATACACCTTTGAACATTTTGGTCCTTCAGGTTTTAAGGATGTGGTTTTATGTTTGTGGAGGATCATATTCAAGTTGGAATTCACTTTCCATCTTTAGAAGTTGGTCTTACCAATGCATTCATCATGGTCTTCTTTATTGTCCCCATCGGACAGTATTTGCTCCTAATGCTCTTCATTTAATGTGAACACTTACAGAACTTGTAAATTATATGGATTTAATGTATTTTCTCTCTCTCTTGAAGAATGTCTTACCTGTCCAAAAAGCAGCTGCTCGAACCCTGTGTGTGTACTTGCGTTACAATCGCAAGCAAGAGCAGAGACATGAGGTCATCCAGAAACTGATTGAACGTAAGTCCTGATTTTTTCCACCCTGACGATAGCAATACACTGCTAGTGAAGGGAAAGGCAATGGTGTGCAGAGCCATACAACAGGGGAAAGTTCATACCTTTGCATTAGAGCAGGGAGCTTGTGTTCATAAATTCTCAGGATCATCATCTGTTTAATTGTATGTTGCTTTTCCTTGATGCTGAGACTGGCTCACAGCAACATTAGAAAGGTGTATGTAATATAGCAACTATTCAAGATGGTTTAATAAGAATTAAAAGACATAACAAAATGTAAATAGCCATGCCAATATTAATAGGGTAATTGAATATTTCTTATTAATTGATATGCACTAATTAACCATTCCACTGATAATTCATGCCAAGACCTAACAAGGGAAATACAACATGCTACTCTAAATAGCAAAATAATCTTAACCAGAGCAAAATGTAGCCCTCAGCAACAATTCCCAAGGAAGACCTCATCAGATGGCTTCAAGACACTTTAAGTAGCACAATTTACCATTGTAACTGGAGGACATAAGGGCTCTGCCTTCCTAGCCCTAGTGGAAATGAGTCAACAGGGAAACATGGACATGGTCTTCCAGGAGCTTTGGAGGTGGTTTAGTTGTTCACACCCTCAGCTACAGGATCTCAGTATAGTCAGCTGTGAATGAGTGCTGCTGAGACTTTGGAGAGACTTTCCCTGCCAGTCAGAGTAGGGGTCAATCTGTTATCTTGCTATCAGAGCAATAAAAGATGTTTATGGGACTCAGTTTACACTGGCTGCAAAATGGTGAAAAACTGCTATAGTATGTTGGTGCAGTAGGTGAGGGGTGTGCCTCAGCTCTGCATGTAGATTCTATCTTGCACTGTGGAAATCCAGTATTTTTGGGCAGAGTTTCTGTGTTGCAAAATTACAATAGCTTTCAAGAAGCAGAATACAGAGGTTTCTTTTAAGAGTGCTGGATTTTAAAGTTCCATATATGAGAGAAAATTTAAATAATATAATCAATGATTAGCTTGAGTTTCTGAAATCTACCTGCAGGTCTTCCATGAGTACAGATAAATCTAAATATTCAAATTTCTAGGGTTTTTTTTTTTTTTTTTTTTGGTAAATAGCATGGAATATATGTCATTTTCCATTCCAGGCATCAACTATACTCCTTGAAAGCTGTTACTTCTCAGTGGGCAAATTAAATTGGGAAAACAAGCTGATCCAATGCAGATGTAGCACTCTTACGGATTTCCTCTGCCTTCCTTGTCAGCTATCTGGCATGAATTTACATCATATCTTTTGCCTGTCATCCTTAACCATAAATTAATGTTGCAGTTACAACAATGCCAACCATGGCTAATTCTAATTAATGATAGTTTTTCTAGCCAGGACTCAGTACCAGTTTTGGGTAGCTTACCAACTTGCATTAAGAAGGAACTTGATTAGCATAATGCCATGATTAATATTGGTATAGATGTAACATTAGACTCTTCTTACATGGGAGGCGGGGGATTCATGCCAGATAAATAGGAAGGAGGGAGACAACTGCCCTCTCCTGAGCTCTTTGCCTTGCTGAAGAGATTGACAACTTGATGAGAGTTATGACTATCCTTTTTAATATTATTGCAGATAATGTACAGTTTTGTAGACTCAGTCTGATGGTAATAAGTTCACCCTGTGACATTATAATTGAGATGATTGATTAGTAATTGTGAGATAATGATGCATTAGATTGCTATGCATTTCTTCTGTGAAAACAAAAAAACCAATCTACAGATGGTGACTGTGGGTTTCTTTTAAACATATGTTTTGCAGAACTGGGCCAAGGAAAAAGCTACTGGAACAGATTGCGTTTTTTAGATACCTGTGAATTCATCATAGAGCTCTTTTCCAAATCATTTTTCTGTGAATATTTCTTTCTCCCAGTGCTTGAGCTTACACACGATCCTGTCGCAAACGTGAGGTACCGTACAAGCTGCACACAAAAAGTCTGTGTGGCTTGGTTTGTTCAAGTTATTTTATACTGATAGTGTGTGATGCGGATTGTTTTGAAAGCCTTTCATTTTTTCTTGAGTGTAATTGCATTAAAACTCCTACTGTTTATTTTATTATGTTACCTATTCTATTTAAAAGTCTTTAAATAGACTGTCTTTTAGTCGAGCACTCTCAACACAGTCTCTCTCTCTCTCTCTCTCTCCCTCTGTGCGTGCGTGCGTGGAGATGTACACGTCCAGTTCCAGTTTATTCTCTTTGTGATATGATGGCATAAGCAAGGAACTGAATCCAGGGCAAGGCTAAATAGGTGGATCTATGCAGAGATGTGCAGATTTAATTCTCAGTGTACTTCCAGATCACAGCTTTTACTGCAACCTTTTTTCATGTATTTCTTGTAAGAAAAAAGTTGGAAGAAGTGGTGTGAAAACATGGAAGCATTACTAATCAGGGAGGATGTCATTGCAAATCTCTCAAACGATTCCATATTCGAGGAAGGGTGATTGCACATAAAAACCTTGTCTGGAAGCACCCCAGTAGATTCCATTTAGTTCTCTGGAACAAAGTCTACAGATTGCAATCATAAGACTGCTAGGAAAGAGGCAAAACCCATTCTCTTCCAAGAAATGGGATTATTAGTCATAGGAAGCAGATTTAATCCCAACACAGTAGATTCCTGAGTGTACACCTCACATTTCCCTTATAAAAGAGCTTTGTTAGTATTTAGCCCAGAGAGCTGCTGTGGGAAGAGAATGCTGACCTAAATATGTCTTTGGCAGGCCGGATATCCTTACCTCATTTTTGGCCTGTACTTCTCTTGCACTGCTGCACATGCATCTGAGAGTTAACTCTGCTTTCTCTAGTGTAGCAAGTACCATATGCTGGTCAGGTGATGAAGCTTGCTGCTGAAACTGGGAGCTTAATGAGCAACATACCATAGTTATGATGTTACCTGGAGGTGCATGGGAGAAGGGTGTGAACATTTTTCACATGGAACAAAGTGTGTGCATTCCTCCAAGTAATATAAAAAAAGCCATGAGCAAATGACCTTGCAAGTGAAAAGGACTCTAAATTTCAGGCACAAAAAGCAGGTGGTGCTGAGGGCCACAGCCCAGTGACCTTTGATGCGTGTGCAGCATTGTTCCATCTCAACCATGTACACTTCTAGGCAAAAGACAACTTCTGTGGTAAGGTGGTGGGTTTGAAGGGGTGTGGGACATCTACCATAAGTGGCATTATGTCTGGCTACTCTGGGATATTCAGCATGTTGTTACTCCATCACCCTGTCTATTTTTAGGAAATATTACAGTTTTTATTGATACCTTGGCTAATACTTGACAGCAAAAGATTATTAAACACCAGACTGGAAGAAATTGGTTCATATTCAGCAACAGAACAGTATTGCCCTCCAACAGCTTATCACATTTATTGTTTAGCTTCTTATTGTACAAGGCATTACATACGGTTGAGAGAACTCAGAAATGGCTTTGGGCCCAGAGGCCCTAATGCCCAACTCACACAGGACAATGTTGAAGGAGAATAACAGGACTTGAAGAGAAGCAGTAAGCAAAGAGCCCTGGAGCCAAATAGCTTGGTTTGGAAAGAGTTTAGGATGAGATTGGGCAAAAGGCAAGGAAGAGACATGCATCTAAAATGAAATAAACTAACCCAAATCTGTAGGATACAGTGTTGTGTAAATTTTAAGGTGGTAAGGGTGATTTTTTTCCCAAAGTCATCACAATATTTTTTCACACGTTTTGATCAGTTTTGAATATTATCAGTTGCTTCATATTTTGCATAACCCTAAACATTCAGAAACCAAAAGGTTACTTATAAAGGGACAGATATGCTGTTTGATTTTCTTAGCCTGTAGTCAAATCTTTACATTTTTTTAAGAACATCAATCCTACTTTTTCCTCTGCAGAATGAAACTTTGTTATTTATTGCCAAAAGTGAAGTCTACTCTCAAGGTACCCACAGATAAACATTTACTGCAGCAGCTGGAACTGAGTGTAAGGAAGCTTCTGTGTGAGGAGAAAGACAAAGATGTCCTGAACATTGTTAAGAAAGTATGTGAGATTGTTCCTTCTTCCTCTTTTCAGCCAGTATTTTTCTCACATTGCTATTATTACTGAACATGTGTGTTGCAGGTTTCAGAGTTCTGTTCTTACTCTTGAGATTTTTAAAAAAGACAATTACTACTTGTTGCAAAAATGAGCAACTGGTACTGTAGACTGTTATGAATAAAGAATGAACACGCACTGAATTTTAGCTGAATTTTGTTGGATCTCTCCTGAAAAGTATAAGTTAGAGGAAAAGAAATAACCATCATCATTGCATGCAGCTAAGTACATAGTTATTCCAGTGGAACCCATCTCAAGCACTGCACAAGTTTCCATCAGTCTGGTACTTCAGTGTGTTACCAAATAACAATTATCTTCTGAGATCATCTGTGCTGACCCTCATAATGTGGTATCATCTAAATAGACTTGAAGTCTGTCCAAAGAAAGAACATTGCATACTTTCTTGGGATTTGAACCATGATTTAGAAAGACACATTAGTGTAAAATAATTGATGATGGAATTTACTTTTAAGCTTTTCCATCTTGATTTAATAGATCAGCAATTGATATCTCCATAAGAGGGTGATGACAGAAAACTAACTGTTCTTTCTGAAAGTATTTTCTAACTGTTGTTCTGCCCTAGACAGCTGGAATGACAATGCAAAATGCCCAACATTGTTAGTCAGGCACATCAAAGCTATGAGATCATTTTAGGAATGCATCTGAACCAATTTTTAGTGTAGTGAGTGGCTGGCAGAATAACACTGTGCTACACTCAGCACAGGTATTCTGCCTGCAGGCATTGCAAACTTTGAGTTTTGTGAAGCAGGCCAAAGGTGAGTTATTATGTTTCCAGATGGAAGATTCTAGGCAAGCAATATTTGGGCTGTATGATACTCGAGGTAATTGCTGCTAGTTCCTATGACAAACTGGTAGATAGCCAGTTCAGTATGGAAATGCATCCAAAAGACTAAATATGGGGTCAACTCCCTCTTCAATTAGCTCTCACAGCCCTGTCAGGCCATTTGTGAAGACCAGTGCTCTTTCCTGTTGGTAGAAGGTAATATGCAGCCACTAAAAACTACACAACATCAGTGGCCTGAAAAAAGGCAATGCTTGCCTAAAAAATAGTGGCCACATAAACATGCCCATAGGTGGAGACTCCAGTTCTTAGAGAGAATATGTCCTCATCTTGGTTGCTCTCAAGGTCTTTGAGGCCACTGTAATTAGGAACTGGCACATGTTGCCAACTAGTCTCAGTCATATGTATGTATGTATCTATTTTGCAATATCTCCTTCACCCCAACAAGCAATTTTGAATCTACACCACAGTACAGCAGCAATTTTAGAGACAGGAGCCTTTTGGACAAGCCCATATGCATTTTGGAGAGCTTTCTTACCATAATAACAACCATATGCATAGACCAAACATAACAAACATAAGCATTTCATGTCTGCTGCAAGGAAAGCAAACTGTTCTAAATTTTAAAAACAAACTAAAATAATATTTAAACATTTTTCTTTTAAATAGATGGTACTAGAGCTGGACAGAATGGAAACCTCTTTGGATGCTGTAAGTAGTATCTGCTAAGGCAACAGTAGCAAATAGCAAGATGAAACATTTGGTACAATGACTGACTGTCTGTTTGCTTTAACCTCTAAACAGTTTCAGAAGAGGTTTTATGAAAATGATCTATTGGACCAGCAAAAGGAAAGAGAAGAGCACCTTCTTTTGGAAATGGTATGTTTATTATGATAGACAATGTCTTACTTGCATGTACGGCTGTCCTAAGATTTACTGGCCCAATTTATATGTAAAAATAAACCATTGTACTCTTTAGAATTACATTCTTTAGAATATCTTTTTAAAAAATTTTGGCTTAATACTGATTAAGGAAGCATCCTCGTGCATATTGTTCAGTCACTTCCTCATGGCTCATCTTATCTGCAGGAATAGCAAAACAAGCCAGGGGTTCTCTGTCCATGGTTTGTTTAGTGTGCCATGCAGTCCAAGAACTGCATGTCTTGTTCCTGTCCTAACCGTTCCCAGTTCAGATTGCATGCTGACAAGAGAAACCAAGTGGAAGCGAAGGAACAACAATACTAATTCTGGCTTATTGCTATGTACAGACTAGTCCACTGTGTCACAGAGTCTGAATTTATGGTGGGAGGGATGTGTTCCTGCTGCAGGGACAAATGGATCATACCATTAGTAGCTTCACCTGTATATCTATGTTTCAAATTGCTGGAAAGAGAAGATGTGCAGCTACATCACTTGTAATAATGCTTAGCATTTACAAGGTATTTTGTGAGTGTTTGAAGCACATCACACAGCATTATCTCAGGAAACCCTGCAAGCTTAGGTAAGCATTGTGGTCCCCATATTTCAAATGGAAAAACAGCGGCTTGTTTGACAGCCATCTTAGTTATAGTGCCCTGTTAACATATTTACCCCTCTGCCCCTCCACTAGTTGTCCATCTTGTATTGTGTTACAGCCCATAATTGAAGTAGATTTAATTGACATTGTCACCACTTGATGCACACAAGATATCCAATGATGTGAATATGCAACATATTTTTTTATTGTGGCACAAGGTTTAAGTAAATGAAAACTGCACTTATTAGTTGCATACCTATTCACCCTTCTTGGTCAATATTTGGTAGAAGCCTCTTTGACAGCAATTACAGAGTTGGCTGTCCATCAGCTTTGCACTTCATGCTTCCTAGCAAAATTGCTCCAGCTCTGTCATAATGAATTAGAAACACTGGTGAACAACAATGTTCAAGTCTTGCCATAGATTCCGAACTTGACTAAGACGTTCAGGTTCTTGTTTTCAAACCAATGCAGTGCTACTTTGACTGCATGTGTACAGTCATTATCCTGCTGGAAGGTGAATCCCCAACCCTGTCCCAGACCTCTTGCAACGCTAAATAGGTTTTCTTCTAGAATTTCCTTGGATTTGCCTCCTTTCATCTTGCCCTCCATCCTAACCAGTTTCTCAGTCCCTCCTGAGGAAAAGCAACCCACAGCTGGATGTTGTCACTGCCATGCTTCACCATCAGGACAGTATGCCCAGGAACAATGAGCATTTTGGCTTTGGGCTACACATAGCATTGTACAGTAAGTTGAAAAAGCTCAATTTTGGTCTTACCGGACCACGAGAACTCTTTTCTCATGTTTGCTACGTCTCCCATATGCCTGTTCCAGACTACTTGAAATGGGCTTTGATGCAGGTTTATTTTAGCAGTGGCTTTTTTCTCACCACTCTTCCATAAAGCCCAGCTTGTGAATTGTCTGGGTGAAAAATTGTCCTGTGGATGGTTTCACCTATCTCCATGATAGATCCCCCCAGCTTCTTCAGAGTTACTGTTGGCTTCTTGGTTGCTTCTCTGACTAATGCCCTCCTGGTCACTGCATTTTGCTGGGCAACCTTCCCTAGGTAACAACAGAATTGAGTCATATTGTTTCCATTTTGTAATACTGGATTTAATAGTGCTCTGGCAGCTATACATAGCTTGGGATTTATTTTTTTAATCATCCAAGCCCGATGGTTGCTTTTGCACAACTTTATCCCAGAGTTCTTTCGGTAACTGCTTGGTCATCATGATGCTGTTCATTTAGATATGCTCTCTCACAAATTCTGGAGCCTCCAAGAAGCAGGTATAATTCATCTAAGATCATGTGCCACTTGGAACTACACACAGGTGGACTCCAACTGCAGGATGTGACTTTTAGAGGTAGTGGGTTACATCAGAGTTTATTTAGGCTTATCACCGTAAAGGGACAGAATGTTTATGCAACCAACCAGTGCCAGGTTGTTTGTTTACTTTTGTGCCACAATAAAAATATTTTTGTGCCTTTACAGCACTGAGTATTTTATGTACATTGAGTGGTAATAATTCCAATTCACTTCCAGGTTATAACATAACAAAATATGGAAAAGTCAAAGGGAGTGAATACTTCCACAAAGCACTGTAATGGCTAATTCTCACCCAAGAGATTTTACTTTCTGACATGGAGCCCAAATCCCTTCCCACACACAATACTTTGCTTTGCCGTTCAGACATCTGTTCATGCTCTCATTTACCCCTACTGCTTGATCCATGGTAAGGTAGTTTCATTTCCTACAGGGCTGGATTGGCTTTGTTAATGGCTAGGGCAATATTTCCACTGGCAAGTTCCTGTTTTGCAGCTTACCTTCTTAGCCTCTGTGTTACACCCATGGTCTTAGATCAAGTTTCAAACATTTTACTCAATATGTCCAGGCAAACCATATGAGTTCAAGTTTAGGTTGCAATATGTAGCTGTAGGGAAATGCTTGCTGCCTGTAAGTAAAACAGCTGATTACGCCAGACAATTGGTGAGCTCAGAAAGAAAGCTGACATCTAAACAATTAACCTTACATAGTACTTCCTGAGGAGCAAATTATTATTGTTTGGATGGGAGGGGAGAGGAATGTCAGGGCAAAGTGTACTTTGAACAAGCAGCCCTTTAAGCACCAATGGCATGATGGCATTTGAGGCTACACCTTTTTCTCTGTTGATTGTTTAGCTGATTGAGCTGTGGGGGCCTGTGTTTGTACAAGTTGCAGCCACCGCAGTCTAGATTTCAACTTTCCATTATCATTGTTATCAAATTGTTTCCACAACAGGAACAATTAGAAAAAGAGAAACAGCAAAATGAGGGCAGGTCTACCACTATGAGTGATAAAATGTATGAGAAGAAGCGTAAGTGGTTTATTTTTCCTTTCTTTTTCCATAGGCTTCTTAATTTCCCTTTACTGGGCATGGAGGATGCTGAAGTTGTGATGGCAAAAACTATGTCTAAATTAAATTAATTAGGAAAGACTGGAGGTGGTGGTATTAGATAATGAAATCTTCTGGCCATTATATATTTTGTGTAATAAATGTATCATAGCACTATTTGCTTTTATACCTTGTGACATGCTTGTGCTTAAGTGGTGCAAGCTACAACTTGTGTGACTGAAATGGAATTACTTCATGGGCGAATGGGGCAGACTCAGTTTTCTCTTGCTTGCCAAGAGGCCAAAACAGGAAGAGCCCAGGGATTCTGGGACTGCAGAAGCTGAAAAGGTGCTTAGGATGGTTCTGTGTGTACCTGCCCCTGCCCACCAGCTGTAGCAATTGTTTTGTTGTTATTTGCTTGCTGTGCAAATCACAATTAATAAAAAACGTGGCCCTCACAAATGAGGGATTGAAATCATGTTGTTACCACTATTATTTAAATTTATCTAATTTCTGTACTGCCAGATAGTCAAATAGTAGTTTGAAGCAGGTTTGCAAGTCGTAGTTTTGAGATAATCTGCCTTGCATTAAACATATTTGCTTTTTATGCTGAGGTAGTGCAAAAACATAATTAGTGCTGGGAAAGAAGCTGGGAAGAATCTTTCTAGAGAACACAAGAGGGAGGAACAGGAAATCATTTCCTCCAGATTTGCAAAACATTCTTTTGCTGGGTGCCAGTGTTAAAATAGCACTGAATCAGGATTTTTTTTCCCTGTACCATCCATTCCATTTGTAGCCTCAGAGTCATACTAAGTTTTTCAACCATCATCTTTAAAGATCAGCACCTTAGAGCTGAAAGACTCAACATGAGGCACTTATTCCAATCCCTGCCCTCTAGCAGAAAAACCTCGTCACTAAAACATCTGCCGCAATTGATCATACACTCAAGTTGCTGTTCACTTAGGCAAGTGTGTTCAGTTTCACTGTAACTGAATAGATGCCATGGATAGGACATATGACAGATTTTGTTTCAAGGTAATTTATTATCTCATCTGATAGCTTCTAGAGTTTGTATGGTTGTATGTAACTTAATGAAAATGTTGCAATTTCTGTGCAGTCTGTACCTCTAGTTAATTTCAGAGCAGTGCTTAAAAAATGCTTTGTTTTAGGTAGAGACAGTAAAACATCGTCAACTTTGGCCAAAACTATATCAATGTCTGTTTCTGGAAATCCTTCAGGTGCTTCAACAAGTAAGAAACAAATTTCTTCCCCTCAATCCTTTTGTTAAATCCCTGTTCGTACCACAGTGAATGTAAGAAAGATAAGTAGAAAAAGTACCAGGATATACAGGAGGCACCACAGCTGGACTACAGTCCTGTTTTCTAGTTGTCAGGTGCACAGTACAATACCAGAAAGGTGATAATAAACAGAAGAGGCAGTGTGGTGTAGTGGGTAAGAATGCTAGATTAGGACTCAGGGGACCCCCACATGACCATGGAGCTCACTGGGTGACTATGGGCCAGTCACAGACTCTCACCCAGCCTACCTCAAAGGGTTGTTGTGAGGATAAAATAGAGAGGAGGAGAACCTTGTAAGGCACCTTGAGATTCTTGCCAGAGGAAGAAAGTCAGACTATAAATGCCATGTGACAGAAACATAGGAACATAGAAAAAAGCAAGTCAGAAGGGGTCTCCTGGGCCATCTGGTCTGACCCCTGGCTTTAGCCAGCTCCGATCATGTATTCCCCAATATATGGTTGTCCAATCTTTCCTTGAACACCCTCACTGATGGGGCCTCAACCCCCTCCCTTGGAATCCTATTCCATATCCTAGGGGTTCTAACTATTAGGAAGTCCTTCCTGACATCCAACTTTAATCCTGGTTTCTTGAGCTTTGCTCCATTGGAACACATGCTGCTTTCACTGCAGGGAGGAACAGGTCATGGCCCTCCTCCACATGACATCCCTCACATATGTATAAGTTGCTAAAAGATCACTTTGGAGTCTCCCCTTCTCCAGGCTGAAAAGACCTAGTTCCCTCAGTCTCTCCTCATATGTCATCCCTTCCAACCTGACTACCATTCTTGAGGCCCTGCGCTGAACCAGTTCAATCCTCACTCTGTCTCTCCTATAATGTGGAGCCCTGACCTGGATGCAGTACTCCAGGTGTTGGCTCACGAAAGCTGTGTAGAGCAGCATCAACACCTCTCTAGATCTGGAAGTCACGCTTCTGGCTAAACACCCAAGGGTGGCGTTTGCCTTCTTAACCACTGCATCACCCTGCTGGCTCATGTTCAGCCTGCTGTCGGCAAGTGCCCCGTGATCCCTTTCACAAGTGCTGCCCTCCAGCCACTTGTCCCCCATCCTGTACCTGTGACACCTATTCCTGTGTCCCAAGTGCAAGACCTTGCACTTATCCACATCAGATGGCATCCTGTTGCCCCTGCCCACTTCCATCAATGAATAGCTTTAATGAATAGCTTTATCTCCAGATTCAGTGATAAAAATAATGGCTAGAACTCCATCATGCTTTTCCAGGGCTCCATTCCAGTTGTTCTTTCCCACTAATATTGTTGCTGTCATTGCAATATGGCAAATTATAGACCACATTGCTACAGCATTTTCAGCCATGTGTTTTGCTTAGGAGGAGGCACATGTTACTGTCATGAAAATGAGGTAAGAAATATGCACAGGATAATTTAATTTAATTTAATTTAATTTAATTTAATTTTAGGCAAAGAAGTAAAGAAATCTAAGTTGGTACGAAGCCAGTCTTTCAGTAGCCAAGCCCTACACTCAAAATATGGCAACTTAGAGAAGTGTCCCAGGTATGTAATACTTAGTTTCTCCATTTGTCTGTGACAGAGATGGCAGTCCTCTAAAACCATTTTAGAAACTTAGGTTTATTTCTCTAGTTGTACAGCAACAACACACAGATGTTCTTTGGTCAACATCTACTGAAATGTAAATAATGATATTAAGCAGACAAGTCTGCTTAATGTCTTCAAGACCACATCAGTCCAGCAGACTTACAAATGATTTCAGGAGCATTTTTTAGCTTGTGGGAAAAACAGTGAAATCCAAGAGCAAATCAAGGAGCTGACATCTATCAGCCCTACTTCAGGTGGCTGTGAGTCAGGCTGCAGAATGATTATCTAACCTGTCAATTTAGTCAGTTGAGTAGGAGTGGTTGGACCTCATCACCTTCCAGATTAGGCCACTGATACTTCTTTTGGAGAGGAAGAATAGTTTTAGCTGAGCATATTTTAAAACTGGTGGTGTGGACAGAGTTTGGGAGAAGGAGGATTGCCTGTTACACTTGATAACATCGTCACACATTTTTGTACCCCTTTAGCAAAAGTTCTTCAACTGGATATACTTCTGTATCTGCAGCAGGAAAGAGTTCTATGTTCTCATTTACTGGTAAGCAACTTAGGCGCGTGTGTGTGTGTTTCAGTTCTTTTTTTCACATCCCACTAGACATTTAGAGCCCACTGTCCTTTGCTCTGTTCAGATTGTAAAGCACAGGTAAGCACTCATACATTGATCTTTATGTATGTCATCTTTAAACAGTCAGTGCTGGTAGATACCAAAACTCACAGCTCTCATAATATCAACAGCACCAGCCTCCTGACTGGCTGAATCACTTTTGCTTCTTGTCTTTTCAGATGACTCCTTTCGTACTCGTTCTAGCAATTCCAGTGGAACTGCTGCCTTTTCCTCTACTTCAACATTATCATCTTCTTCTCGTAATGCAAGTAATTCAGTTGATCAAAAGAACAATGGGAGTAAAGAAAGCCATTCGCGGAAGGTTAGCTTGTAAGTGATCAACTAAAGTTAGGGCAGAGTTTAAGGCTATGCAGCCTGTAAACTAAAAGACTAACTTTCTTTTTATTATATAGAATAAACAAATGGAATACTCTCCATATACGAGGTGTGTCCGGAAAGTAATGAGAATGATACTTTAAAAATTCTTTTATTGAAAACATTTATAATTGAACATTGTCTTCTTCAAAGTACGTACCTTGTGAGTGTACACAATGCTCCCAGCATTGGAAGAATGGAAGAATTTTTCCATTCTTCATAGCATCCCTGGAAGTCTTCAAGTGGGATGGTGTTCAGAGCCTGCATAGTGGCTCTTTGGACGTTATCCACACTGCCAAAATGGTGTCCTTTCAAACCATTCTTCATCTTTGGGAGTATGAAAAAGTTTCAAGGAGCCAAGTCAGGACTGTAGGGTGGATGGGGAAGCACCATGATGTGTTTTTCAGACAAAAACTCTCTGACAGCACTGTCTCTTATCGTGTTGAAGAATCCAAGTTGAGCCGATCTCAACTTGTGCCATCAGTACACTTGTGCAGGTGATAGTACAGCTCCTCCATAAGCTTTCCTCACCATTTCCAAAGTTTCTGATGCACTTTTACCCAGTTTCACACAATTTTATTGCATACCGCTGTTACAAACTCACTTGCATTTTTCTTAACGCAAAGCACTTGAACAGGGTGTCCCAAAAGAGAATGTCTCGACTCTGACAGAGCTGGAATGCAACTAATCAGTGTTCTAACTTATACCTGGCACCCCACCCCAAGTGACCTGGGCCAGCTTCTCCCTTCACAGGGCCCTTCTCAAGAGTAGGGACTTAATTCTCATTACTTTCTGGACGTACCTCATATACATTCCTACAAGTATATAAACAACCATGTTATGTGAAGTTATTGTTTTAAGCACAGGTCTGGTTCACATGTAATGAAAACCTAGAATCACTGCTATGCTTTGTTTTTGGGTTCTTTCTCTGACTTAGCATGTCAGAAACAAACCAGATTTCCTGGTTCACATGTAATGCTAATCAAACCATGGATGGAAGGGCTGTGGTTTGTTTAGCTGCGTCTGCTTATAGGCAAGATGCACCCGGATGCTGCCTCCTCTGCACTGAATGGGAACTGGGCTACAGACTTAGGATCAAAGTGAAAATGGTAGTCATAGATTCATAGTTACATTCATTCAAAGGGGTGGAGAAACTGGAGTTAAATTACAGAGTAAATTACAACCGGGAACTTCTGCTGTAGTATTTGGAAATTTCTTGTGGAGCCCATGCCTATTTTGGGCTTCAGAAAATGGTGGCACTTATCACAAGAATGGTGGTCTTCCTCTCAGATGTAAGAAAATGAAAATTTTTACTGCCTGGCTAGCCTGAGCACTAAAATGTCTGCAAGGAGATGCCTGGGATGTGACAAGATGTAATGATGGTAGAGAGCTCTACACCACTCAGAGTCAATTTCTCTTCCCAGCAAACCCTAGGAGCTCTAATTCTGTTATTCTATAATTGGGTGTAAGGCTCTCCAAACAGAATTCTTAGCATCTTTATCATGCCACAATTTTCAGCATTTCTTTAGTACAGCTTCACCTGAGTGATTTGTCCTATGTAGGTATGCTCTAGAATTCCGGTATGAATGCTAGCAGAATCTGGTACAGTAATTATGTCTTCCTTAATGTAGCTTATGCATCACTTCCCCTTGAAAATCTGAGCAGAGCGCCCTGAATGCACCCTGGTGTGCGTTTTAGTGCTGCTCAGCTGGCAGCAGTGGGAATCCCCAGTTCTTTGAATCAGCCCTCAGTTAAAGTAAGCCTATGAATTTTATTTGTAGCACAATGTAGAACAGGGAAGGATTTCATCCGGTAAGTGCCTCAACCCACAGGAGACCCCTGTAGAAGAGAGCTTTCAGAACAAAACATATTCTAACCCATTACTAGCAAATAGACTGTGTTAAATGAGTCATCCTCAAATAGACAGCAGACGTGAATCATGAACTTTGGGAATAACAAAATAATCTGTTCTGCTACTATTATGCTGGGTTTGGTTTTATTATCCTTTGCATGTGTCCTCACTGTGAAGAACTTTAGAAATTTCATTTCAACATAATAGCTTATACTTGCACTCCTACATGGCAATACAGAGGAATCAGCTGTCTTACTTTCTTAGATGAATCACTGCAATGTGGATTAGGGTGAGAGTGTGTGGAGTAACTTTGCACATGAGCATATCATGCTGAGGTACATGACAACATTCTCAATTCCATTAATTTAACATCAGTTAAAAGAGAGGAGACATTTGGGGGTTTATTCATTTTTTACTTATAAGGAATATGCTTATTATCTCAAAGACCACATGGGAAAAGTTCTAAATGATGATTGTTGGAAAATTTTCACTGACAGATTAGTGGTTTTACTAAATGACATCCCAGTCAGCCTGTATATGACTTGAGTATGTTTGTCTGTCTAAAGAAAAAACAGAAAATCAAACCCCTAGAGCTGGTAAAAGAAAAGATGCACACCAAAGACTGCTGGAGGCAACCTGGCTGAAGGATTGGCAGGCGCGGGGATACAACCTTGAATGTGAGGATCGGAGAGGAGAATGACTGCATCTCACAATGTTAACATCTTCTGTCAGTTAAATAAATTCCTATGTTGTAAAATATCTTCATAGAAATAATGTAATATGTGCAGAATTCCAATGTTGTAAGTGAAGTGTTTAATTCAGTGTTACTTTACAAATGTGCTTAAAATCTGCTGCAGCTAAAGAGACAGGGTTCCCCCTTCCCCCCTCTCAATTATGCCTTTTAATGGTTGAGGTTCTTCAATTTGGAATGCAAGGGCCTTCTATATTAAAATAGACCTATTTATGAGCTTAGGAACTCCTAATATGCCTTTGTTATGGAAATGGAACCACATAGGTGAAATTGCTCTGCATATAAGATTAGGTGACACTTTCCCTCTCAGAAAAGCTTTTAAATATCAAGGAAGGTTTAGCGTGGAACCTGGGAGCGTAGACATATGGAGAAGTATAGTAATTTAAAATACAGACATGCTATAATTTTAAGTAGGATCGCTTATCTGGTGTATAAAAAACTCAAGATTTTCTTTCTTTCACCTTTTAATAAGAACAGATACCTCCAAAATGCATATAAATGATTTATTCATTTCTTATTGCAATTTTGTTGTATAAATTTGTTGTATAAATACTTTGTTTTAACTTCTGGTATTTCAGGTTGTAGTTTCTCTTTATCCAATACTTTAGAAATGATGAATCTAGTTTTTAATTAGTTATTTCAAGCTATCATGCTTTTAGCTATGTCAACAGCATTTTGTTTGTATTCATGCTAACATTTCTATTAAAATTTGCCTGCAACTTGCAGTTCTATTTAAAAAGTTCTATTTATGCCAATACTTGAGAGAGACTGTATGAAGCTATTGTCAGCTTCTCTATTTCACAAATGCAATCAGCAAAACTATATTGATATCAGATATCTGTTTTTTAAAATATATTGGTGTATGATAAAGATAATCTAATTTGTGAATGAAAATGTGTGTGTTTACTTTTTTCAATGTGAAATAATGACTGCTTTATGCCCAATAAAATGTAGGACATTGAAATACTTGCATGTTTTGGGTGGGATAGATCTAATATTTGCAATTTTAATTTAATTTGTAAAATAAAAGCACAGGTAAGCCAATCCTATATTTACTACACTACCAGCAAATTTAACAGCACAACACTAGCTGTGTAATTAAAGGCTAATGTTACAGTAACAGTCACTGAAAGCAGGAGGTGGAGCGTCTGCTTTGCATGTGGAAGGTCTCAGGTTCAGTCCCTGAATCGCCAGGCAGGGCTGGAAAATCAAAGTGTTTCCAGTGTAGAAGGGGAGGAATTATGGCTTAGAGCCCTACTAACATTTCAGCTGCAGTGTAAAGGGCAACAGCAAGACCTTCATCCCTGGGAAGCATGCGTGGTCCCTCTGTGCTAAACCTCATGAGCGCAGCAGCAGCACAAGTACAGAGGAACTGTCAGAACTTTTATTGAACAGCATAAGTAATGGAACAGATTCTGACAGCATCTCAGAGGGATAGATTGCTGACCCTCTTGGTGCAAGCAGGACCCCTGTGCCACTGAAAGCTGCCTGACAGCAGAAAGAGCATTGGTTCAGCTGTCTGCAGTACTGCATCTGCATGCTGGTTAATGCATGGTCTGAGAGAGAAACAGAGACAGCATAACACTAAAGCTACAGGAAGATACTGGATCTACTAAGGAGGCAGTCAGCTTAAATTGTAAATGAGAGAAGGGCAATAGAGTAAATGAGAACAATAGGATATAACTGTGGAGATGGGATCCTGCTTTCTCTAATAGCGCATTCCAAGCCAGGCAGTCCATATGCAGAAGGTGGAGTTGGCAGGTGACTCTGAAAAGTCAGGCAGCAACTGAGAAGCTGCTGGGAGGAGACTGTAGAACAAGGGAGGAGGGAGAAAGTTCGTAGACCCAGTGAGGTTCTGTGAAGCCAAAAGGCTGGACCAGTTGCATCATGTCAGTCATTTCCACAAGCAGCGAGAACTACCCTGAAGGTGGAGCTCAAACGCTGAGAAGAGGCAGAGAGGAAGGGTCTGTTTCGGTTTGAACTCAACTCTTCATGTGGCCAGAAGCTTCTCTCACAGGTTGGAGGGATTGTTACTTTGATTTATGCAACTTGGTAACAGCTCTTATAGATAATGGCCTGTAATACAGCAAAACCCGTTTAGGCCCAATAAAGGATTTCATTTGATAAGCTTTCTTTTTGATCTGCAGGAAAAGCAAGTACATATATGATCATGAAAATAATAAGGTAACTGTTTTTCATCAGTTTTAGCGAATCTGTTTATCCAGTTAACGTAAGGGCAGTTGAAGTGATCCACTATTACAACACTTCATCTGGAGGCCTTCATCATTCTAGATTCCATCTCAAGATGACCTTGAGCATTCCGATCTAGGGGAAGATAGCATGTTCTTAGTACTAAATTAGTTCTGGAACCCAGTATTGTCGCATGAGGTGCTCTGTGGCAGGCTAGGACCTTCTGAAGCTTCTCAGTGTGTTGGACTGCATGCCTTCTTCGATGTACTGAGCAACTTCTCCTGCAGTACAGCAGCCTGGTCCTCCCTGCAGTGTTTACATCCTGAGGTGACCATATCCCACTGTTCTTCTCTGTTCCACGAGGTTTCTGTAAATGTCCACTATATCTAGGTTCTCCTTTAAAATGCACACACCAGCTCTCACTCTTCAACTTGGAGGCTTCAGGCATTAATAAAGAATCACTGATTTATGGTGTTCTTCCCCAGATTTCTCTGCCATATGCATCTACTGCTATGACACTTACTGGTTTTCTTGTTTCATTCGATGCTTAAGGCACATTTCCTCCCCATTTACACTGGAAACATTTTCATCTCCAAGGAATGAAACCCAACTGGATCGTTTCTCGTTCCTGTCAGCTTTCCTCAAGGTTCAGTTGAAAAGATGCTTTGTGACCTTTTTAATGTTTTGGGCCAGCTGTCTGGTTCCATTATGATTCAGGTGGAGTCTGTCCCTCTTTTACAGGCCCAGCTCACCCCAAACCATTTCCCAGTGCCTAATGAATTTGAACTGCTGCTCCCTCCATCAACATCTCATCCATACATTGAAACTCCTCAGCTGGCCTAGAGTATGGAGCAGTTAGCAAGGTAGAAAGCTACCTTGATTGTCTAGGATTTCAACTTTCACCTAACCCAGATTTGGTTTCCTGGACATCATGAGTACATTTCCCCATGTCATTCATACCAGTATGGACCACGGCTACTGGCGCCAGTATTTATGAAGCTGCTTAGATATTGTGTGATCCCTGCAACCTTCACAACAGGAAGGAGATTTACCATTTAGTTCACACACTTACACAAATTCTGCCAAATATCTAATGACAAAATCTTCCACTACCATAAGCTGCTTGCATGTGCTTTGAGCAAGAAAATATTTTCCCAAGTTCTGCAGACTGAGTCCCTTCTGAAGAATCATGTCCCAATTCCTCAGAATGATGCTTTCCTTGCACAAGATCCCAGTTCCATAACATCAGTAGTAGTCAGATTGGTAGACTACTATCGGGTCTCTGAAGGTCTTTCCCACCAATCTCTCTGCCTTTCTTAGCTTCTACAACATTGGCTGCAAGGGACCCAACTTATTCTTGGAAAACCAGGAGCTCATACACCAAATACTCTCAGTTTCTGTCTGACCAGCAGATTGTGGTACTTGTGGCAATCCATGTAATACATTGAATAGCCCTCACATCCCTGGTGAACTTGTTCTGTTCTATGATTGGGCTTGTTTGTCCTGGACATTTATAGCGATTTGTTTACATCAGTAGTAAATTATTTACAGTTACTTGTAAGAGCCAGAGTGATGTGATGGTTGGAAGGTTGGACTGGAGACTTGGGAAGTCCACATTCTCGGCCATGGAGCTCACTGGATGACTTTGGGCCAGTCACAATCTCTCAACCTAGTTAGCCTCACAGGGTATTTGTGGTGATAAAAATGGACTGCGGGAGAACTATGTAAGATTCCTTGGGCTCCTCACAAGAGGAAAAAAGGTAGAATGTAAGCGCAATGTAATAATATTAATGAAAAATGAGGGGAAAAGCTGTCCTATATTATTTGTCCTGCTGCTAAACTCACGTGTGTGCATATCTCGTGTGCTGACACTTCAGAATTTGTGTTGAGTTGCTCAGCTCTCCTTATACTTGGAGAGCTGAAAGCTTGCACACTGTTTTGTTACATTTTGGTTTCTTCTAAATTCATCTATTTTAGAAGAGATTTTTCCCATTCTTGGACCAGTAGTTTTGTACTGGGTACCGTCTCCCCATCTCCAGAAGTACGTTGTACCAGCCATGGGTTTAAGGTTTTTTTGGAATCCCAGGGAAATCAATATGCCAGGTGTAGGAGGAAAGCTCTTTATTGTGCACAATATGCAAGTCAGCTCGCTCTCAACGGGTTTAGCAGCAGTTACTTATAACACAGCATGGACTGGACTACAAGACAGGCTGGAGCAGTCAGTCAATGAAGGCTGCCTGAGAGATCAATGTCTGAATAGCAAACAAAGGACTCAGTCCAATTAATATAGGCAAGTTGTTTACTTGCTCTGCTACTAGTCATTCAGTTTTAATGAACACTTGGCACTACATACTTCTGTTTACAATATATTTCTTGATACCGTGTTTTAACTCATCTACCCAAACATGCTATAAAGGAGTGTTGGTGCAGACAGGTGCAGTTAACAAGCTCTTGGCCCAGCTTACATTTGGGCAACTAATTAGTTGGCAGCTGAAAGCTGATAAGGAGGGTATGTGTCCATTCTTTGACCCATCTTGATCCACTGAGTCAAAGAAACAGGCAGCCCACAAAATGGAAGCTACAGACTCAAAATGGAAGATTGGGGAGGTAGGGGAAGGTGTGTGTGTGTTTTAATATTTTTGTGCTTTTCAAAAGTTAAAATGAAATGCAGAAAATATAAAAATAGTTCATCTTGCACAAAGGTTAGGTGTATTAATTACAATGAATGCATATGGAGTTTATACACCTATATATTACATCTCTATATGGAAGCATGGTACCATCAGTAGTAATTATGCAGAAGTTTCGACAAAGATAAGCCCCACATTGGTGTATTTCTCCATGCATACGTGGCATCCTCATACCAGCTGTTCAAAGGTCAAAAGAGTCAACGGGTCCTCAATCCATTGTGTTATCAAGGCTGACTGTTTGTCCTTCCAGTATTGTAGTATCAGTCATTTAGCTGTCCTAAAGATATAGAAAATCTGTTTGCATTGACCTTGCATTAGATTTCAGTAGATGGGCATATATTTAAGTAGAACACGTACTGAAAAGTTTTCCAACACAAAATTTATCCATCTTATAGCTTCCCGGAGAAGGAGACAGCTGTTGGACATTGCCAATATTTATTTATTTATTTACATATGAGTGAAAGAAGCATTAGTTGTATCACATCTCCAACTTAGCCAACTTAGCCAAGCCTTTATTATGGTGTTTAATATACACAGAATAGAAGTTTTTGCTGAATGAGATGTAAGTTAAGATTCATAGACCCTTCCCAGATGGTTGATAATGCAGCATTCAATAGGTTCAGTGAAATATGGCAGTCCAATTCACTATCTGGTTTTTGCTCAAGACCCCGTTTGTCATCTACATCATCAAGATCCTGTTCATCTACAGCAACCTTCCACAACCTGGTGGTCTTCAGTGGCATTTGGACTGCAACTCCCAGAATTCCCATCCAGCAGGTCCATTGACTAGAAATTCTGGGTGCTGCAGTCCAAAAATGTTTGGAAGGCACAAGGCTGGGGAAAGCTGACCTACACCATTTATACAAACATAGATTGATATATCTGATGAGTCTTAATTCTAAAAGTGAAGGAGACTCTAGAGCACCAAAGCTGCAGGAGCAAACTTCAATTCCAACAAATGATTCAAATGAATGTATTGGCTTTGAGGCCAGGCTATATTTAGCATAGACAGAAAGTTATCAACTTCCACGAGTAATTATCTACTTAAGCATCCAGGTCTGTCATATGAGCATTTTCTTACCTATTTTTAGTTCTGGGTTTCCCTGTAAGGTTAATTTGGCATGGGGAAATGTATCAAACTGCAACTAATGTGCTATTGTATGTTACATCTCTCTTACCACTTCAACTAAAGGAGGTATCTATTTTTGTAAACTGAGAACCAAGTACAATCCATTTGGACAGATGGTCCAGGCACGAGGGTTCCAAAACTGCCCAGAAGGGGAATTTAGGTGAAGACCAAAATTTAGTGCAAAGCAAAAGAAAAGCCTGATGATGTACAATGAGACCAGGGAAACCAAATCCACTCTCTTTAAGTCGAAGCTGCATTCTTTTCAAAGATACCTGTGGTGGAATGTATGAAACAAGGAATTGTGTTTTTAAAAAAGAGGAATTCCTCATAAAACACACATAATTGCGGGGTATAGTATCCATTTGAAGGGTGCAATCCTATGGCCTCCTGTTGTTGCATGTGAGGGCCATAAGTTTTTTTTTTTAGGCCCCTGCTGTGAGGTCCACCAGACTTGGAGCTGAGACTCCAAAGACTGACCCCCTGCTCCACTTCCCTCACTGACTGCCGGTGCAGAAAGAACTGTACCAGCTGCCTCTCTGAGGACATAACTCGCTCTCCAAGAGGAGGGAAAAGGGGCATGCCAGGGAGAGGAGGAGGCTGGGGGTGTTAGTTCAAGCTCTTTCTTATTGGTGCCTCTCCCTGATGCGTCTTCAAAATGTCCAAAATCAGCTGTCTAGATGAAATGCCTGGTCAAGGAGCTGCGGCTGCAGGAATTGCTGCTGGAAGGTATGTCTGGAAGCTTATGTGCCTCTGCAGGAAGGATTGTGCTCAGATGTGACATGCTGGTTAGACTAGAACTTGGGAGTTTTGGGTTCCAGTCCCCATTCAGCCATGAAGCTCACTGGGCAACTTTGGGTCAGTCACTCGCAGGCCAACCCACCTCACAGGGCTGTTGATGTGAGGATAAAATGGAGAGAACAAGAACTTTGTAAGCTGCCTTGGGTTCCTTGCAAGAGGAAGAAAACTGAGGTATAAACGTAATACAATAATAAGTATGTTTACTTTGTCTCAGAGATTCAAGGTTGATCTCACTAGTCAGTTGGTTATATTAAGCTTAGTCGTTTGAGATTTAGCTCTGGGAATATCGAGATAGTTAATATGGTTCTGACAGCCCTGAAATGCTAGTTTGCAATAAATTGTGGGGACTGTATCTCCAATGAACAGCATTCAGACTGTGAACAGTTAATTGAGCATCCTGACAAAAGTCCACAAGTGCCGGTCTGCTGCATCAAAGAGGAATTGACAGCTGAAGTTCCAAAAGAAACAATACAAGATCATCAGGACAGATAATATTTTCTATTCTAGGCAATGGTACAGAATCCATGAATTCTATTTAGTCTTATGACACACAACAGGGGTTCCAAGCATAACTCAAAAAAGAATGCTGAAAGAGGGTTTCCCTGTGCCGTACCCTCCAAAGGGGAAGGTATCACTTCTTTCCTTTTGGTCAAAAAATCACCCTGCCCCAAGCTGCTACTTTCCCCCGGGGTGCTATTTACAGCAAAAAGCACCTTTGGAAGCAAAGCATAGCTACTGGGGGGTGGAAGGGTTTTTTTGGTGGGATGAAGTAGGGAGAAACATAATTTTCCACACATAATTTTCTGGTCACTATGGTGTTAATCAACATGGAGTTCCCAAGGACCAGCACAATAAAGTAAGTGGCCAGGGCTAGCATTTTTTTAAAAAAAGCATTCTTAGTGTAGCATGTAGTTTTATGCTTAAGGGAGCTGTAGGAATAGGACATACCAAATAGAAATGCTTGGCTTATATTCACAGCTCCATCGGGTTGGTAACTCTTCCCACAAACAGCAAAACTTTGAGATGTCCGTCATAGATCATGAATAGGAATGGCTGATTCACCCGGATGGTAAGAGGCAATGAAAATGCCATGACTTCTGATTTACTGATTGCTGCGGCTTCCGTTCCTCTTTCATCAACGTGAATAACAGATCTTTGGAGTATCTAAGAAGGTTGGAAATGCATATGAAGTCACAGCAAGGTCTTTGCATTTCCTCTCAATGGCCTTACATCCTTTCCAATATGCCTGTCTCTACATCAACAAGGATAAATGCAAATCAACTGGAAATTAACTCATTGGAAATACACATGATCCCCATTCTCCGTTCATGTTGAAATGGCTTCAAGTTGTATATAACTGATACTTTTGTCTTTAATTATGTTTTTTACCAAGTTACCCAGGAAGAGACATTAAACCTTAAAGCTGTAATATCCTGCAAGATCCTGATGGTGCGACATGGGAAAATTCATGATGAAGTATCCATGGCTTCGATGCCATGGATTCAAGACATTCCCATAGGCTGCTGTGTAGCAGTTTGCCTCAATACTCTGCTGCCAGGGATTGGTGCGGGCTGGAATATCCTAGGGGCTGGTGGCTCTTTATCCATTTTGGGACACTTCCAGATAACCTGGTTCTACACTCTGTTTGTTTGTGTCAGTTATCCAGTGTATTATTTATTCTAGCCAGTTAACTTCTGAGGGCCAAAGTAGATGTGGAAAGGAATGCATGAAAAGCAAATCCCAGATACATTTTTGTCCAGAAGCCAGGAAGCTGGTGAGAAGGTGGAGGGAGGAGCTTCCTTTGAAATACGAGCAACAGTTTCAGAAAGTTGATTTTTGTTTGGACGGCGGCAGGCAGAAAAAGAACTAGGGAGTAGTTCTCTCCGTATTCAGACAGCCGAAGTCCCACAGCTCTCCACATTCCTCAGCCAGCATGGTGGCTGGAGAAAGGTGGAAGCTGTAGGACTTTTCTCTGTCTGAACATTTATTTAGACAGAGAATAATATAAGCATACATAAACATTATTATATGCTGTCCTGAGGCTTTTGCAATAGGACGGCATATAAATATCATAAATAAATAAATATTTATTTAAAGCATTTCTATGCTGTTTGATTAGCACAATGCACTCCGAACATTGTACAGAATGTGTGTAGGGTTGTGCCCTTAATTTTCCCAAGGCTCCCTCCTGAATGGTGTATACAGAACAAAAAAGTAGCCCAGATCGCACAATTAATATCATATGCAAAAAGTAGGTATTTGTCCCATTCTGCTCCCACTGATCAACACACCTGAAACAGGATTCTGCTCACTCTTCTGGACTGGATTCTGCCATGGCAAATCCCCTCCCTCAAACTCCAATCCAACACATATTGGCAGAACCAGTCATTTGTAGCTCCTGGCTGCAACACGGAGGTGCCTGCACCACCAAACCAGTGCAAGCACCGTCAATTCGGGTTGCACAAACCATCTCTTTGGGAGCTGTGAGATTCTGCTTCCCTTTCCCACAGTGTCCCCAAAGGAGTATCAGTGCTGCCTAAACTGGCAGCTGTGCTTGGTACACTGCATCTTTATCTCTTTATCTTTATTCTCCTGAGTCCCAGCAATTGGGACACAAGATACGAAGATCTTTAGGCTGGGTCCATTAGAACTGCTGTGTTGGATGGCATGTTCTCCAGGTTAAGTACTCATATTTACCTGTGATACCTTTGCATATTTCTGATCTGTGAGGTTGCTCAGGTCTGCTTTGTAAGAGAAAAGATCTTTAATTCCCATCTCTTGAAGCATCTGTTCCATGTAATATGTCTGGTCTAGTTTGAACTTTGGAAAGTAAATTTCCGTTTTCCTATAAAGCAAACAAACATAAGCATGAGTTGAATGGAGAATGTGCTAAAGCTGGCTATTGTGTATGTTGGCTGAGTGTCATGGAGGCAAGAAATTTTGCAAATTGACCATGAGTGGATTTAGTTCCCATGCTGCTCAGAATCTTTGGATGCTGTAGCAAATTTGAGCCTAGAAATTCAAAGATAATGAATGACCTGAAGACCAAATCTTATGAGGAATGGTTAAAGCATCTGGGAATGTTTAACCTGGAGCAGAAACAACTAAGAACTCATTGGATAGCCATCTTCATAAATGGCACAGCAAATGTGTATTCTGCCATTTCAGAGGGTAAGACCTGAAAGATGAGTTTTCCTGACTGTATATTTGGATGAACTTCTTGGGTGGATGATCTATTTGACACAGAGCAGAGTGCTCCAGAAGGTGGTGGATGCTCCATTGTTAGGGGCTTTTCAGCAGAAGCAGACTGAATCCGCAGATTCCATTAATCAACAGAGGGTTAAATTAGATGATCTCAGAGCTGATTTTTAGTTTTATGGTTCTACTAGGAAAACTATTTTTAAATATCATTGGATTATCTAGAGTGGCCCAAGATATTTGCTGCCTGCGACAAATGGCAAGGTTATACTCCTTCTCCATTGCACATACAGGACCTGGCTGCGTCAGCAGCAGCAATTCATTCAACTCTTGCAATGGGATAAAGGCCACCTCCATAGCAGAGGCAGCAAGCTTGTTCAAGAGGTCCAGGACAGATTGAATAGCATCCCCAGAGAGGAAAAGTCAGGAGGCCTTTCCTTGCTGCCACCAGCACATGCCACCTCAGGTGACTGCCTACCAGTAGGGCTGGCCTTGACCTCATCCCTTTTCAGGATTACTGAACACAATGAGCGTTGGGAGAACATGACGAACACCAGTTGCCTAATCCCATCTCTTCCTCCGCTTCCTTCCTTACTCTGTTACCAATCCTTCCTTCTTTCCTTCTACCCCCATGGTCCCCTTTGAGCCAGGATTCCGATTCCCTCTAAACGTTCTGAACCTAGTACATCAGCAATGAAAAGCATGACTTTTCAGCGATGGCTTGTACCTGGTCTGCATGGTTTTGAGCCAAGACTCCACAAGTTCACTCGTTACATGGTCTTCAATGGACATATAATCAGCCCCCTTCTCAGGCATGACAATCAGCATGTGTGCATTCCCTTTGTATGGAAGCTTGAGCACAGTGCACTGCAAGTTTTTATCTTCTGTGTAAGCAAATTTCTCTGTCTTGAACATCATTGGCACATGGACTGTCCTATATTTGTCTATATGAAAGGGTTCCACTTCTGTGAACTTGGAAGAAAATGGATGCAGCCATTTGCCTGAGAATATACAGAAAGCCAGCCATTAATTTAACAACATTGACATAATCTATATTTGTTCTGGGAAATTTCAGGAAAATCCAAACAAAGTCCATTTATTTCAACTGATGCTTAACCCTCCTATAAAAATGAATGGGTCTTAAAAGTATGCAGCCTCAGCTAAACTGCAGCCCTACTATTTCAATGTGAACGGAGTGTAATTCTCTGGCTAATTGCATGGCATAATAGGAGCAGCACATGAGGTTCCTTTCATTGGGGAGCTGCAGGGTTGTTCACCCTGTTAGAGAACCAATGATTTATTCTGCCAACCAGCTGTTCAGTGGGGAGAACTCAGTCCAGCTCCCCTTGAAGAACTAGCAAGAGGCACTACTGATTTTCTGCATTTCATGTATCAGAGTGCAGAGCTTCTCCATTATTGCAAGGCAGGGGGTTGATTCAGAGTTTCTATTCTGCCAGAGGGAGCATCCTCTTTCTTCCACTCCCAGTATTCCTTCTGGCAGAAAGGAGAGTAATTTGCTCTGAAAAACTCCCTCTCCCTTGGCAGGCCCAACATCAATTGTTCCGCCTTTCTAGAGGGTTCTGCAATAGTCTGGATCAGATTTTCAAGTCAATTTTTCCTCCTCCATCCCTCCCCCTGGCAGAAAAGCTGCATGGGATGGAAAGCATTTTGCAGATGGAAGGAGCCCTTCCATCTGCAAAAGGCTTTTTTTTGGATCAGACCCATACAGAATCTTAGGCTATAGCTGTGCAAAGCTTTTCTACATTAAGCGCTTATTACATACTTGCTATCCCCTATGCACTGTTGTTTGCAGATTCTTTAACCAATGACATAGTCTGCTTGTTCTGATCTGTGCTTAACCATCCCTTTTTAGAGAAGGGAAGGTGTGGCATGTAACTGCGAATGCAAAAGGAAGTACACATCAAGCAATGTATAGGGATTTCATCCTCCAGGTGCAGGCTCAGCTAACTCACAGAAGTCATGATATCTGAGCAGACACACACCTATCACTTAGGACACACATTCTGAGACACCATCTGGAAGAGCAAAATAGAAAGCATCTTCTAGGTAATTCTCGTTATTATGTTCCTAATAACAGTCAAGCTCTTCCTTAAGGATTATGCATGCTTCTCATAGCCAAAGTTCAAATATACTACCCAGAGAAACTGAAGTGAGTCTGGCATAACAGGAGCAGATCTGAAAATGCCTTTTTCCCAAAGTGATGCAATGAAGGGACTGCCCATGCAGAACTCACCAACTGCATGGTCATCTTCAGTCAAACTGGTTTTGTAGGACAGGCGTTCTTAGACCAGAAGGGAAAACAATGCAAGGGACAGAATCCATGGCTACATCGCAGTGCTTTCCGGTCTCTTAAAAACAATTGCCACTCCATTTTTATCAGTGCCCTCTGGTTCCTGCCAGGCTCACTCTTTAATTGAAAATGGTGCCCTCCTGTACCCTTTTAGGCTGCTTAAATCCCACTGGACCCAACAGAATTCAAACCATGGATGGTGCACAGGCCAGCGGCCATGCTTGCCCTTCCTCTTCTCCCACCAGCACTCTTTAATTCTGGCTCAGCAATTAAAGTGAAGGAGGTGAAGACCAGAACCAGAGCTAAAAATATAGAAGAGGGATTAGGGGATATTTAATTGCAATGGCTCTTTGGTTGCCATGGAGCAGAACCCTTTTGAAGGATTTCTGCAAAGCGACACCCAGTGGTGGAAATGTTCCTTTGCAGTCCCTTCCTTTAGCTATCAAAGAGGCGGACAGAAATGCATGGAGGGCAGCCAGCCCTGATTGTCAGTGTGACGTGCAATTCGGCAATGATGTAAAGCCTATATAGGGGTGGCACGGCTGGCTCCTACCTTGGAGATGAGCCCTATTCCCACCTCCAATCCACAGTCACTGAATGCTTGGCTAGGAGGAGGTGCAATGGCAGGCTCTGTTACATCCCACGGTCCTCTTAACTTATTGGAAGGCACGAATGGAAGTCTGCACGCACCCAGTGGCAGGGTTCCCACCACAGGATGAATGACAGAAGCTTTTAAGCTGTGTTTGACCAGAGCTAACCAGTTCTGCTAGGCTCAGACAATATGACAAGCCACCCCTGGCTTATGAGCCGCTGTGGTTTCTTGTGTTGTGTGAAGCCAGTCAATAGGCAGCTTTACATGGCAAAACATGTTCCAAATACAGTGGAACAAAATAAGACGCACACAACCGATGACTGGGAGCAGCAGGGCTCTGAAGCCACCTCCCCACTTCCTTCCCTCTTCATCCTCCTGCAGGTATTCTGCCCAAATGCATATCCTTATGCAATTTGCACTAACTGTGTAATGGCCACAAGTTTTTCAGATGCCAGTTTGTGCAAATCAGCAGACTGTATGCAACTCATACGAAATCATGTGCTTTGCAGCTATGGGCTCGTGTAATGTGTGCAAAATAATTGTTTATGTTGGCTAATTTTAATTTTAAGGCTAATGATATAATTGTTTATTTATGTTGTAAGCCGCCCCAAGGCTTTTTGCAAATGGGGGCAGCATAGAAATCATTTAAATAAATAAAATACTGTGATTTGTGCAAATTGCATAAAAAGTGCAATTTGTGCAAATTTCTTTAGTGTTTCAAAAATGTGCAAACTATGTCCCTTCTTAGAGATGGAAGTCTACAGAAAAACCCTAACCCAGCCAATTTCTGATAATCAGATTAGAAGCGGGCAGAAAGTCCATTGGGTTCAAACCAGCCAGTGCCAGCACATCTTTTATGGCAGCAGGATTTGTGAAACCAGCAATGGGAAGCTTTCCCAATACCATCCAACTTTTCTTCAGATCAGCCATTCTGTACAATTAGCCACTGATGAGTTTGTTCATTTCTGATTTTAAAAAAACAACAAACATCACTAAGATATAAGAAGCACTTACCTCTAAAGAGAATGTAATTCATCAGAATGATTTTAGTCTGCTGATCAAAAGTGTCAAACAGCATAGGAATTTTCCCTCTCAGCCTTTGTTTAATGTGCTCATTGACAATGTTTTTTGCAAGAGTAGAGTTGCGGAAATCAACTGACAGAAATTCCATGTCGAAGTATTGCTTGGACAAGTTAAGGAAGATGTCCCTGATTTGGAAATCTTTCTGGATAAAAGAGAAACTGGTTTGCAAAAGAGTGAAGTCTTCATTCTTAGTGAAGTTATCCCTTAGCTGTTGGAACAAAGCTAGAAACTCATTCTCTCTTCCATTCGGAAGGTGGAGGTCTAGACATTCAGCTATTTGGTTGTGCGTTTCCCCACTGGAAGCCAACAAGAAGGCTGCCAAAGTGAAGGACATGGACAATGGAGAGAAGAAGACATTGTTGTCATGTTTCATTGCAATTTTCCTGTAGAGATTGAATCCAAAGTTGGTGATCTTCTCAGTGAAATTGTGCATGGAGAACGCTGGAGCAGAGGTTTCTTCAAATGGATCTGGAGCAATAATATCAGGATACTGTTGATCTGTGTCATTGAGAAGCCAGAGATTTTCAGATGAAACTTCCGCTGTTCCATTGGATAAGCACCTCTTGGTGCACAGTACGAATAAGGCAAGAAAAAGTCTAGCTTTCATGTTGCAGTTTAGCAGTGAGCTTCTACCTGGTGGGCATAGACAGACAGACAGAAATAGAATTATTCTTGCAGATAAAAGGAAGATAGGACTGGATATGGGTATTTGTGGGGAGCACCAGATCTCCCCCACAGTTTATTTATCATTTTATTGTATCTCCAATCTTTTTTTCTTAGGGTAGCATGAATGAGGATTTTCCATTTTATCTTCACAGCACCATGCTGTGCTAAGTTAAGCAGGGAGGCCTACCCAAAGACACCGGGTAAATTTAATCCTGCATACAGATAGCATGGCATACTTTGCCTGGGGTCCAATCATGGTTATGCTAAAGCTCTTTCCAACTTATATCATACTTAAAAGGAAAACTGTTGTATTTGCAGACCTTTAAATACTGAATGAGAATGCCACATTTATTAATTTATTCAACCAACGCAAAGGCCCCTTTAGCCTCCAAAAAGTGACAGTTCTGCAGACCAGAAAGGCATGTTGGGATTCTACAGAAATAGTAAAATATTTCTAGACTGATTAGGTCACAAATTCAGACAATTCTAGCCCGGGGGGCCAGAGCAGCCCAGAGCAATGCCTTCCCGAGCCCCTCCCCTTTGAGCCAACCGTTGGTCGCTTAGTAATTTCCTGGCTCTTGCACTTTGTTTCCCTCATTCTAAAAGGTTGAAATGCTTACTATTGTATTTCAATGTATTTTATCATGTTGTAAGCCGCCCCGGGGTTTCGGCAAGGGGCGGCATAGAAATGTTATAATAATAATAATAATAATAATAATAATAATAATAATAATAATAATAATTAAGGCTTATTCCTGGACAGCAGAAACTTCAAGATGAAATATGCTGGGTTTTCTTTTGTTTTGTTTTGTGTGCTTTCAGCTTCTGGCCGCACAGTTAAGGTGTTAGTCTGGGATCTAGGAAATCCAGTTGCTAGTTCCCTTCCAGCCACAAAACTCACTGCGTGACTGGGCCAGACTTAGACTCAGCCTGAGCTACTTCACAGTGTTGTGGCGAGGGTAAGACGGAGAGTAGGAGAATTACGTGTGCCACCTTGAGTTCCGCAAAGGAAAAAAGGCAGGATTTAAATATAATTAACCAACCAACCAATCATGTGTCCCCTAAGAACTGAGCCTAAATTGAGTTTGGCCCTTAGGTCCCCAGTTCTTGAGTTAGTGATGCACAAAGACTGCAACACAGATTTATTAAAAAAAAAAAAAACTGGGTGAATACATAGGTCTTATGTTGGCGCTGAATGTTAATAAAACCTAAGATCTTTAGTAGTTTAGGGACTTGTAGGTCAGAACCAACACTTTGAACCTAGCAGTGTACAATACTGGAAGCAAATACAGCTTCTTTGGAACAGGTAGACCAGGTCTTTTTGTAGTCTGGCAAAGACCTTCCTTTTAAGGATGGCATCCAGTGTGTTTAACATGCTGTTGGCTTCTGTCTTTCTCAAACATTTTAATGGCAGTTATTTTATCATCGGTTGCTGTTTCTGTGCTTTAATGTTTAGTGGTGGCTTGTTTAACATCAGAAGGAAGTTTTCAATTGTTCAATGTATGCATTCTATCGTTAGCCCTCTTGCGCTCCCAGGAGGGGAGGCAGGGGAGATTGCTTTAAGAAGAAATACAAACAATATTTCTGTGATGATGGCAGCTTCAAAACAACCAATCAGTGCTTTGAACCACCTTCAAAGGGAATGAGATGGGCTTTTCATGGCACCTGCATTCTGCACAAGGTGCAGCACAACAAAGCAAGCAGCCTTACTCAGGCGAGTGAATAGGTGACAGGGTGTGATTTGGTGAATATGGGTGTTGTTCCTCTCCTGCTGAGGTCACTTCAAAGCAAAGTAAGGGCCTCCAACCCTGCTGGATTTACTTCCCATGAATGCCTCTGAGCCAGATATTGGGTTCAGATACAGTACTTACTTGGGAAATGGTTGGACACCACACGCCAAAGCTTCCCCCAAAACACACCAGACATCAAGGAGGTGCTGCCCTGAACCATTTCTCTAATTGTCAAGTGGACTCGGGGAACCCCAAATGTGGAGCACCTTGGCCAAGAGGCAGGCTTGCTTGCTTTTGGTACCCAGCTTGGCATCAGCAAGGGGAACCCGAGGTAGCTGCTAGTACCCACGAGTCATCCTTTAAATTTCCCCCATGAACAGAAGCAAGGGGGAATCAAAACAGTGTTTCCTGTGTGCAGTATTTTGCAGATTTTTAAGTGAAATGTAGAATGAGAATAGCTTTTCTGTGCGTGGGAAGTCATCTTTCTGGGTGAATTTTGCTCAAGGAAGTGGGATAATAAGGGCTGTAACATGCTCCAGATCAGAACTTACTAGTACAATCCATTTCTAGGAGCATGTCTGAGGCTAAAGAAAGTGCTCTCTTGCTCTATTAGTGGAAGTGGTGATTCTCTGGTGTGCAGTGAATCAATTCCGTGCTTCAGTGATTTCATCTGTGAACTGAGCTTGGGATTCCATGGTACCCTTTTAAAGGCAAGGCAAGCTTCCTAAATTTATTTATACCAGTCTTCCCCAACCTGATAACCCCCAGCTGTTTTAGACTACAACTCCCAGCATCCCCATCCATTGGTCATGCTGACTGGGGCTGAAAAGAATTTGCGCACCAAGTTGGAGAAGGTTGACTTATCTGTTCTTGTTATAAACTGCTTGCCCCAGAATTTAGCTGTTTGTTCATTAACCCCTCAGAAGGGGAAGAGCAGGGCAGAGAACCTACAGAGGGAATGAACAAGAAAAATAATAGGCAATTATTATTAATATGTAAATTACTAGAAAGGAGCTTCCCAGGCTTAGCTGCTTCCCACCATATTTATCCATCACTGCCAAGTCACTGCAGCTGATGGTGGCACCAGAGACTACCTGGCTGAGGGCCCATTAACCCAGAGCCGCCCTTGTCAAGACAGTCATATGGAGAGAGGACACTTCACACAGAAGCGGGCCTGAAAGGGCGCATGCATTGCAGTGTAGGAAGCAATGCAGAAATAAGCAGGCAGCACATGCCTTCTGCTGAGGAGTGCACCAGGCTGCTTTTCTTCCATGAGAGCATCTTTCTCCATATCAAAGAGTCTTCTTATGCTCCCCGAAATTTCAGCTGGAGGAACAGTGGCTCAGTCCTCCCTGATGCTCATGTATTGCGCATGCACATGGAGTCATTGTTCTCACTGTTTACTTCGAACTACCTGCCAGGCATCATAAAAGGAGGAATAGGGAAAGAAAAGAAGGGAACAAGGGGAGAAGAGGGGCAATCATGTTTTTCTAAATGATAGAAACTCTGAATTGATGTTGGAGTACCATGAAGAACATAGGCCCCAGCTGAACCACAGTTATGTGCAGCAGGAAGCTCTCAAGTTATCAAGCCTGTATCAGTAGCCATGGTGCTAATTATTTTGGGGTGAGGGTGAGCAAAAAAGGACTAAACCCAGCCTCATGGTCCTCCTTAGGGATTGGGCCCTACCTTCATGCTTACTGGGGTTAATCGGAGCTGTACTCTAAAACACCTGGAGGGCATTTGGCTGGGGAAGGCTGAGCCAACCAGAACTGCATGTATACAGCAGTCTGCTGCAAGATGGGTCCAGAACGGCATGCGCAGGATACCACCTTAAACTCACAGCCCATCTGAATCAGGGAGACAGAATCACAGCATTGCTTAACATTCAGGGCAGCTACCGGAGTGATGGTGGATTCCATTGTAGCCCTGCAATTTTAATGCGTCTTTCTTTCTTTCTTTCTTTCTTTCTTTCTTTCTTTCTTTCTTTCTTTCAACTTTTCTGTACTGTACCATCATAAACGTCTTTGGGACGGTTTACGACAATATTGATAAAATAAAGTAAAAATGAAAGTAAGTTTAAAAATATCACAGCATGTAGTATTCGGTGTAAAACCTCAAATTAAAACAATTTAACTATTAAAATATTGGGAGAATAAAAAGGGTTTCGCCTGGCGCCAAAAGGAAAGAAGTGTTGGCACCAGGCAAACCTCTCTGGGGAGTGTATTCCACCACAGAGAAGGCCCTCCTCATCAACCTCCTGATCTCTTTCAAGGAGGACACACAGGGGAGAAGGCGCTTCTTCAGGTATCCAGGACCCAAACTGTTTAGGGCTTTATAGGTCATAACCAGCACCTTAAATTGGGCCCGGACTTCTTCCATGCCAGTAGCTGTGAACACCGCAGGGACTTGGGGTGCAATCCTTGGGCCTTCTGACATAATCAGGAGTAGAAAGCTTATCCCAGGATTGTTCAGAGTCCTTGCCCTGCCTCTCTCACAGCTGGTGTGGCAAGAACCTCACCGGCTTCCTCTCTGAGGTCACCAACTGGCCACAGAGAGGAGGAGAAGGGGTGTGCTGAGAGGCAGGGCAGGGCGGGAAAGAGCAGGGACTAGGCTGAGGCCAGCCATGGCAGCCTGTATGCCCGCCCCCTCCATGCTGCTCAAGATCACTGTCAAGATGAAAAGTGGGGCATGAGGCGTGAGAGCGATGAAGACCTTTCTCACCATGCCTCACTCTATGCCTTCTGAATTCAGAGTCTTCTGCACATCAAGGGCCAGAGGAACCTGACTGTGCCCTTACAGAGGGACCTTGGCAGAGCAGAAACTCATGTGCTTTACCTGCAGAAGGCTTCTGGGTTCAATCACTCCCAGCTTAAAGGATCACGCAGCAATAGCCAACAGCAAGACCAGCCCTTTTCCTGAGGCCCTAGAAAGCACTGGCCAGCCAGAATAGATGGTGCTGGACTTGATGAGTGGAGAGGCTGAGAACTGGGCACAGGGCACCTGCCTATGTTCCACAGTAGGCACTATGTGTGCCATTCCACAGTGGCTTGCGTGCCATCGGTCCTAAGCATTTGGACAAAGAAAGGGACTCACAACTTCTAAATTAACATGGCTACACCACCTTGTTTGTTAATATCCAGCCCTTTCTTCAAGGTGTTGTATACAACAATTAAGAACAATGAAAACTTAACATCATAAAAAACAAAGAACATTAGGAAATGGGAAAAAAGAAAGAAATTACCATGAAAATGTTGCTCTTAGAGGGAATTTATCCAGAGGCTCCACACCTTGATTTAGTCGTGAAACCCATGAAGCCTATGTGCTTCCCAGAACCACTGCACCCAATCGGGGACCTCCTTACAAATACCTGTATTCAGTCCAATCTACCACTTGAGAACTTCTACAGTCAGGCAATGTATATATCGCTCAGTGGTATTATCTATTCTTATCCCAAAGCATCTGCCTGGAAATGCTCCCTTCTTTTGAAGGCACTTTGGAAAAAGGAACGAGTGTTGATTTCTGATGCACGTATGTATTTATATTTATATCCTGCCAGGAACCCAAGATGGCTCACATAATCCTCCTCTCAATCTTATCCCCACAGCAACAACCCTGTGAGGTAGGTTAGGCTGAGAGTCTGTGACTGGCCCAAAGTCACCCAGTTGGCTCCACAGCTGAGCAGGGACTAGAACCCAGGTCGCGGGAGTCCCACTCCAACAGCCTACCCATAGGAAAAAAAAGTTCAAAGTGCAGAGCATTTATTTATTTATTTATTTTCCACCCATTCCCAGTGATTGGGACTCAGGTGGGTTGTAATATTAAAAATTATGCAATTAAAACATTTTAAAAATCCAAAAGTTAAAAATATAATTAAATCAATTAGATATTAACATTTCTAAATGTTAGAAATCTCTGTGGAACTGTTCACATTTTGGCTTTAAAATATTAGGGTATTTAAAAGTAGAAGTTAGGTTCTGAAGTTCACTGAACATGAATCTCAGACAGGCATTTATTAGCTACCTCTTTCAATCTACTTTCCTTTCAGTAGATCTTTAAAATGTAAATGTAAATATCTATCTTACCAACAGGACAGCTTCTCTCTTACTTTTCTGAATCCTATATGGGAAAAAGAGAACAAGTTACAATGATGTTATGCTCAATGAGTGGGATCTTGCAAGATAAATATTTGCTATTCCAAAGGGTAGCTGCATACTTCTTTCTGTTGTAAATTAACTGAAGGACAAACAGGGATATATTAGTTTGCCATGGAAGAGGCAAACACTGCAAGAACCAAGCTCCAGTAAGTACCATGTTGTGTTATAACACATAGAAGAATTTCAAGAAATCCACAATAAGCATTTCCAAAAGCTAACCTTAGACTGAGTTTCTTATCATTTTCCGATGGCAGCCAGATTTATACTTTTGGTTTTCAAGGTTATGAAGGGCAGTCCATAGGGGAAACTGGCTTCACTGCAGAAATGAAACAGTCAATTTTTATTTTATTATCATAAAATCATAGAATAATAGAAAGGGAATGGGCCAAAAAGGCCATTGGGTCCAACCCCCTGCTGTTGCAGGTCACCAACTTACACCATCCAAATTTACACAATATAACATTTTATTGATTATTTTATTGATTCTATACCACTCAGTAACAAAGCTCTGGAGAAGGTTTACAACAATTAAAAGTACAGAATACAGCACAATCAAACATGACCTAAACTTTGATAATAAAATATTTTATAATAATAATAAATAAAAACAATCAAAATAAAAAAGAATCTAGGAGGGTTTAAAGCAGAGGAATAGATTTAAAAACACCAGGAATGGAAAGATTAAATGCTCTTCTCCGTGCTCCTGCCCACTTAGGAGGGAGGGGGAACAGGCAGAAGAAGAGGGCAGGACCAGGCATCTCCAGAGTTTACCTGTGGGCCTTTTGCAGAGGCAGTTCCACAGGTGTCAAAGGATGCCCACTTCTGATGGCAGCCAGCAGCACAAGATGCTCAGCTGCCTGAAGAAGAGGATAAGCTGCCTCGCCACCTATTGCCTCTACCCTCAGTGCCTTGCTCTGAGGATTCTTGCAGCACTGCCTGTCTCCAGGGTTCCCATCCCCAGAAGACCTCACCCTGAGGAAAGAGCCCCTCAGGATGACCCACAGGGGCTCCCGGATTCTCCAGAGGGCTTACCAGCCTGAATCCGAGCATGGCTCAAATGACCCCAAATTCGCTGGTAATATAGTTGCAGCATTTTTCCAGGAAAAAAGAAATACCAGACAAACAAAAGCAGGGATGTACTTTCATCGGCCTGTTCCAGTCTTT